TTAGCAATATCTTTTCTTATATTTGCTATTCTTTGTGTGTATCTTAAGATTGTTTAGATAGGTTTCTTATAACTTATCTTTCCGCAGACAATCTTGTAAAATCTGTATTGATCTTCTTTATCATTATATATTTTAAATTTGAAAATTGTGTTTGTATTCATCCCCCCCCCTTCTACAAACTGTTTAGTATTCTTGTAGACCCTTTGGGACCAACACTTTCAATTTCTACCCATGTCCGCAATCATTTTTTGCTCTTGTCCTCGAATTTCAATTAGTCTCGCGTGTCTACCGTTTCGCCACCAAGGCATCCTGAAAGTGAATCGTATTCCATGAATATGTCTATCTAGTGGAAGAGGATCAAGTTGGCCCTTGCGAACAGCTTCCCAATAAGGTCGTCTATCAAATCGTTGCAACCCTTGACAAGTAATCCTAATGTGGGCGGATTGGTCACGTTTAAGTTCTTTACAAGTACGGATAATTACAGCTCCTTCACCTTTCATTGGTTGAATGAGGAACAACTATTATGTGATGTTTTTAACAACTTTAATGCTTTAAAACCATTTACAACTATTATCGTTGAAACCATCAATCGATGCTCATCAGACCTTCACGAAGAAACCATGGGATCGATGCTCACCAGATCTTCGTGAAGAAACTGTGGGTCAACGTTCACCAGATATATAGACGTTACAGAGGAACCCCCCCCCCCCCAATCGATTTCCTCCTTAATGCTAACCATCTTTTGCAAACGATGATGGTCATTTTGTATTTTTAAACTGTAGGGATGAAAAGTGTTATAATCGGCAAACCACAGGACAAGTGTGTGTAAAAAGTGTAGACAATAGGGACCAAACTTGTAATTTACTCACTTTTATAGTACATAATTATGGATTTGGTCTCGGTGGTTTGTGAATTGTTATGGATCTAGTCCATTTTCTTCAACCGTCATCTATGCAATTTCTTGTGGCTTTCGTCGTTCCCCTTAACGTCTGTCTATCATCTCCATTAATTACAAGGGCAAAAGGGTCAATTCATATATTTTTTCTATTTTATAATTTTCAGTTACCTTTTCTTAAAAATCAATGCCACGAGGCATATTTTTTTTAGTTAAAAAACAAATTAAAAAAACGTTGTCATCCACGATTGTGTTGTTTCCGTCGGCAATGAAAAGTTTTTTAAGCACCAAATCAGATACAGATTTGTGCTTGATGATGTCGTGAATATATTGAACCACCACCAAATGGTGATGAAAGGTTCTTTAACCATCGCCATCCACGATTGTGTTATTTTTCGGATCTATGTTCGATGTATATTTCTCTCAAGACGGCGGCATAGATACACCACCACCAAATAGTGGCGTTCAAGTCGGTTGCTCGCCTAAGATCTTACAGGTGTCRGAACCCCRACCATTYCCCCTCGCCAGAGATCTTGCATCCTCCTCTCACCATCTTCGGTTTCTACATCTCAAACCACCACATGGATCTGGATCTGCTTCTGCAACCTACAACCACAAATCCAGTTCGGGTTTTTTATTTCCGATTCAGGTTTTTGTTTAGGGGTTCATTTAGGATTTGATTCAGTTTTAGATTTCGGTTTTTGATTTGGGGTTTGTATTATAAGGTTTTATAACGAGAATTATGTTCTTGATGTTAATAGTGATTTTCTTGATTTTATGTTGATTTTCGTTTGAATTTTTCATAATTTTGCTGTTAAATATTGTTGGTGTTCTTGATGTCCTTGATAGTTAGAGTTATGAGCAGATGAATATTCAACAAAATATTATAATTAATTAAAAAAAATTCTAAAATAAAGAAGAAATGGTAAAAAGACTAATTCACCATCATAGTTAACAGAGACAGTGGAGAAAAATTAGGAGAATAGACCAAATCCAAGGCAAATTGCACAAGTGGAGGTTTATCATATAACAAATGAAGAAAATGGACCAAATCCGTGATTTATTCTAATATATATAGAGAGAGAGGTTGGTTATTATATAACACTTGACATTTGTGCAATCAATACAACTCAATCTCAACCGTCCATTTCATTTGATTAATATGTGATTTCATAGAAGTTTTGATTGTTTCTTAATATAAAGTATTAATCATAATTAATAAACCATATTTATCTTCCATAAATATTCAAATCATAATAAATGAACTCTCATCATTTCCATAAATATCTCAATTTATTGGGTTACATTGGTTGTACAAATGCGACGGGTTGTATTTGAAACAAACTCTCTCTCTCTCTCTCTCTCTCTCTATATATATATATATATATATATATATATATATTAATGTAGGAGTTAATTTTAGTTTTCGTCCCAATGATTGTTAAAAATACTTGGCTCCAAAGGTCAAAAGTACCAGGAGGTCCCAAGTTCAAATCCAAGAATGAATAAAAATCCCCTTGTGGCCACAAAGGTTCAAATGTGGTGACTCCAGGCTATCTGCAAAGCAAGTGATCGCCCTGAGATTAGTTGGCTTGCATAGCGGGTTGGATATCCAGATTAATTTAAAAAAATGACAAAAACACCCTCACATGAGGGCACATGGGGATATTTAACGCCGGTTAAAGAAAAGGACAAAAGGCAAAACAAAATACAAACAGTAAAGAAAGAATTGTAATAAATAAAATTCAAGGGACGAAAATGGTTTTTCCACAAATCACATGGACAAAAAGTGTAAATAACTCCTAATATAATTTTAAACCCCTTATATATTGATTGAAGGGTTGGGTTGGGTTGGGGCATTGGGGTATGAACGTTTGACTTCTGCTCAAATTTCCCCCTATTGACCGGCTTTGTTTTATGTAAACCAACGAACCTGTGATTCTTTCTTGGGGAAGGAAAAATAAAAGGGAAGTTAAATCGAACCCTTTTTGTAGACCAATTGGAATCCAATCCATTAACCGCAATTAGGGTTAGTTTTTCTACAGAAATTCTTTAATTGCGACGTAAAATCAGTGGTACGTTTTCTTTGATTTCTAACCCTAGCTTTCAAAGATTGTATTTCTTGAATTTCGTATGGTTTCTTTATAATTTGTTTGTTAAATCTGTTTGGTTTTGAATTTCATCATCGCATCATTTGGATTGCATGCTGATACGGAATTGGTATATGAACTGATCGTAAGATTGTTGTTGTTGTTGATGTTGGTAAACGTTCTTTTATGTTTTTTTCGGTTGAGTCTTACGATTTCAGGTTACTCGTCGATTGTTAATTTACCATTGATTGACGGAATTATAAGAAAATTGATGGGATATTCAAGATTTTAATGGTGGATCAGTTGAGTTTTAGTTTGAATTTTCGTAACTTCTTTTGGTGAAAATGATGAATTAATCAGGTGGGGAAACTGGAACCGTGGTGTTTGTTCAGCTGAATACAAGTTGCTTTTGTCTGTGTGTTACCGCTTTGTGAAATTTATCAGCTAGGGAGAAGGTATAAGAAGCTTATAGTTGGAGATCATTAAGGCTAAATGAATATATATCAAATGGCAGCTAGAGATAAGATGGCATGAAAGTGTGGTCATCATAATATTTATTCTAGACTTGAGGATTGGTTGAACTCAAGGGATAGCTAGATAGTTCATATTAATGTTTATTCTTATACAATTCAAAACAAAAAGCTTCATAGGGTTATATCTGTTGGCAGTTGTCTTTTCTTGCTTCATAATTATTCTTCACAATGCTTATGTGTTCCAAGTTATCTTAATCTTGTGCCAATTATGGGAATTTAAAATAGTTTTCTTGATTAGTTCTTTCTCAGACAATTACAATTTAGTGGAGTTCTTTCTCTGATTGAAATGAGATGGGTAACTGTCACCTAAATTTTTGTTGTTGAAAACTTATACTCTGGTATTTTTGAAATGCATGCATCATAGATGAGTTAGTCTGTGCATTTGTGGGGTACTTATTTACCCCACAATAAATTATTTCTGTAAGGAAATGCTATTTCAAATGATTGTGAAGTCTGCTGTATGATATTACTGTGATTGTTTAACATTCTATCCATCTTACATATTGCAGGAATCATTATTTGCAGTGGACAGTGTTCCTGAGGGGACTAGCATCTATTTTGGATAGCACCAATTATGCAATCGTTTCCTCCCAAATTTTTGGCATACTAGGATGGCTGTAATCCCTGAAGAGCAGAATATAGACCATGCAATGGACAGTTTCCCGTTGCTTGTGGAGAGTCGAGGAAACCATGAAAATCAACATGTCATTGATTTAGAGAGAGGAGGTGATGATGACACTTCCTCATCAGATGCATCCAGTAATTCTCCTTCTCATGGGCACTCTCATAGCCCTAGGGTTTCCACTTCTCAACTAATTCGTGCTTCATCCAGTGGATCAAATGCACTTGGGAGAAGAGGGGAAGGATTTGGTCGTCGTCGCTGGAGCCCGTTTGACACTTTGTTATGGATTTCAATTGAGCTAGTATTCACCTTGGGGCAAATTATTGCATCCATTGTTGTTTTATACATATCACGACATGAAAACCCACAGACTCCTTTGTTTGCTTGGATTGTTGGTTATGCAGCTGGGTGTGTTGCAAGTCTTCCATTTTTATACTGGCGTTATCTTCATCGTAATCAGGCTACTGAACAGGGGTCAACTCAGGTTCGACAGACACCTTCTGAGGGTAACCATCCACCAGAACCAAATTCTTACATAACAATCTCATTTGCTCGCTCTTCAGAAGAGGAAACTCGTCCGACCACATCTCCTGACACTTGGAATGGTCTAAATGTGGGTTCGAATGCTAGGTAATTGACTGTCTACTTGCTGTGCCTGTTAGCAGTGTACACTAATTTAATTTCATCCACGGTTTCTGCATATTGTTACCCTGAAATCAGAATAATCTGGTTCTATTTATGGGAATGGTTTTGTTCTCTGGTAGTATTATAGTCCCACAGTGACAACTAGGGCAAGTAGGATGATGACAGATCATATGGAACTGGAAGGAATTTAAAAGGATGCCTCCTTTGATTCTTCAGCAGCTCTTAGTTAAAATATAGATGCATGGGACCGTATTGTTATAACTAGCTGAGGTGATGCTCTATTTGCATACAAGTCTTCAAATATTGGCTGAAATCCAAACTTTGCTGCTTAAGAATTACATGGCAATGGCTTCTATTAGTTTTCTCTACATACCATAGTTGAATTTAAACGATCTTTTCCCCTTTATTTGTGTTTAATACTTCATATATGCTAACACTATGAAACAAAACTGTACTCTTTTAGATCTTTCTACATTCTAAGTAGAGCTTGATTTGAAGGACCGCATTTATATAAAAGTAAGTAGGTGTCAGCTTTACTTTTATTGCATCTTTATTTTGGGGAAAAAGAGCTTGAGGATGCTAGTCTGTTAAGTCATTTCATGTTATCAATTGGGGATTGGGTTATAACTGTGCAACATATACACCTGGAATCCACGTGCTGCCTTCAACTCGGAACCTCGAAGTGGGATGTTTGCATTTATCTGGTTCTCACATGCATGCACCATTTTTTTCACATTTGTGGAACGGTTTTTATGTTTACATAGGACACATTTATCATCCCTGTTGTGGTCTTAGTTTGCAATAACTGTGATTCACTTCATCGTATGTGTTCTTTTGGCAGGATTACCATGCTTGTGGACCATTTCAAAATGGCTCTGGATTGCTTCTTTGCTGTTTGGTTCGTAGTTGGCAACGTTTGGATCTTTGGAGGTCATTCATCTTCTGCCGATGCTCCCAATTTGTACAGGTGCTACTAACATATTACATATAGTCTGGGAAGAGGCTTTCTATCCTTCTACCAAATAAGAAACCTTATGATTTCTATTGCTATAATTACAGGCTTTGTATAGTATTTCTTACCTTTAGCTGTATCGGCTATGCCATGCCCTTCATTTTATGTGGGATGATATGTTGTTGCCTGCCTTGTATCATCTCCATCCTTGGTGTCCGTGAGGATATGAATCAAATGAGAGGAGCAAGTGAAGATTCTATCAATGCTCTGCCAACACACAAGTTCAAGCTAAAGAAGAATGGGAACAATGACACTAAAGATAATGATTCAGGAATTGATGAAGGTGGGATTCTAGCAGCAGGGACAGAAAAAGAGCGTGCCATCTCTGGGGAAGATGCTGTAAGTTCTTGAGCTATTGCTGTACATTTTTATTTGTGACTTTGTTCTTAACAACTTGTCTTAGATTGCTTGTTCCTTGATGTGTCTTTGTTGTCCAAAGGTTAGTGAAAGCTGACCTCTAGTATTGTGCTAGTTGCACATTTGCCTTTTTATATTGCATGAAAGATTATTCCATTTGCTGCACATAGTGCTCAAGTGGGGTTCACTATGTTTTGCAATCTGAGAAATGATTGGATCTGCTTATTTAGTCTGTCAACATCAAACATATTCTAGTAATTTTTATCCTATAACTCCTCCTTGTAAAAGCAACCATTCATACATTGTTTTAAGAGTAAACTTCATTTTTGGTCCCTGTACTTTTTTAGTTTCTTGGTTTTGGTCCTTATAACTTATTTAATACAAGTTTGTCACTGCAGTTCATTTTTGTCTGGTTTTGGTCCCTGTCCCTCTCACTAATTGGCTGTTAAAAAGTTCCTTAAATTAGGGAAATTTTGGTCTTTTTCCTTCTTTTTATATCTTAACATTTATTTTTTTCTTTTTTGTCTTTGTGTTCTTTTATCTTTTCTTTTTATCAACCACTTCAACCCTACCATCTTCTCTCTCACCCATCTCCATTACTCCTATCACCAATTCAGCATCCCCCTGTTAAGCCGGAGTCCATCTCATTTGGAGTCAAACCTCCATTACACCTTATGATTGTTCTGAGAGGGGTCAATAATGGTCAAACCTTTCAAGTCAACGATGGAGCTTGGTATTTCACCTTAAAAAAAGTGGAGCTTGGTATTTTAAGTCAAAATAGTTGCTCAAGTTTCAAAAGCTTCCCGACATCATTCGGAATCTCAATCTGTATAAAAAGGTGTAGAGATGAATCAAGAACAATCAAGTCTGTAAAGTTTCCAAGAACAGGAGGGAGACTACCCAAGAGCAAGTTGTTGCCAAGATTAAGAGCTTGAAGGTTCAGTAACAACCCATCCATCTGGGATCTTTCCTTCAACATGGTTTTTGCTCAACTTCAACTGAGAATTATGATCTGTCATAGTGCCCCAGATGAGGTTATTATAAAGATTGAGAGTTTAAAGAAGAATGCTGAGAGAGATGCAGAGGAATAGGTTGGTTAAAGAAGTTATTAGCCAAGTTAAGGTTGATTATTTGATGAGATTAGAGAGTTGGCAAATGGAAGGTGAGATTTTACTTGAGAGATTAAGATTTTAAAGGGTGGGAGATGAGACGGCGGGGCGGTGGTGCAGGCAACACCAGTCCAGTGACAGTGGTGGACAAAAGAAGATAGGTAGGTCATGAGATCATCAATGGCGGATTTGAAGGTGAGTAGGATATCTGCTTCTGATGTTGAAGATAAAAATGAACAAGCTTTTAGGGTTTTTGATTTCTCATGACTGCAACCCATCTCCGACTGGAACCCATGTGTTTTTTGTTGTGTCCAAGGAGTTGATTGGGAAATAGGTGCAGGAGATGGAGATGAAGATGGAGATTTAAAAGGGGCGGTGGGGAGGGGTGGCCGGAGATGGTTACTGGTCTTTGGGGGGAGGAGTGATGAATGCTAGAGAGAGGGTGTGTATATATAGTATATACTTTTAAGAAAATAAGCTTTTTAAATATTATAACTAATATTTTAGGTTAGTTTTTTATTTCTTAAAAGAAAATAAGCAAAAAAAAGGGAAGAAACACCAAATTACCCCTTATTTAACGGAATCTTTTAACAGCCATTGATGGGTGGGACAAATATGCCAACTGCAGTGGCAGTATTAAATAAATTCTGGGGACCAAAAATGAAGTTCACTCTTGCCGTAACCTTTCATGCGAGTTACTTTTTTTGAACATTTGTTACATTTGCATTTGTTAAGCGGAAATGTCACTTTATTATTTTAAAAAGATCAAGTAACCATGCCTGGATTGACCCTGAAACCTGCGAAGAATTATGTCTCTTATTTTAACAGATAGATGGTTGAAACTGATGCAGGTGTGTTGCATATGCCTGGCAAAATATGCAGATAATGATCTGCTGAGAGAGCTTCCTTGCACGCATTTCTTCCATATAGAATGCGTAGATAAATGGCTGAAGATCAACGCTTCTTGTCCATTATGCAAGTTTGAAATTGGGGGCAGCAATGAGAATTCATCTTCTACAGAAGACTCAAATCAGCAGCAAGCATGAAAGGAATTATGTTGATTGCATAAAAATCAGAAGTTAGAAAGAAAGATATATAACATTCTGCTGTCCAGTTGATTATGACTGTAAGTCTTTTACCATTTGGCAAATTAAGGGTTGTATAGATGAATCAAACCAAATGTGTTGTTATAGTAGTTGTCTAATAAAAATACAGTTTTCCCAAAGCATCCATACAAGTTGAAAAGATTTGTAGGTCCTCAAGTCTTTGATGCACCATTTCACATGGGTCCCACATGCATTATGAAGATGTGTTATGATCACAAATTCTCAAGGCATTTTAGCTCATCTGTCCTAATGGTAGAGGTGTGGGTGTAATCCATATGTGTAAAGTCCCGGGTACTAGAGATGTACAAAGCCCGGGATTTTTTGGGCCCAGGCTTTCTCAAGTCTGTTTTTAGTCAACCAAAAAAAAGCCCATGCTTTTTTAGGGCCGTGCTTTGGAGTTGAAAGAGGGCCTTGATTGGGCTTTTTGTGGCTCATTTTTCTAGGCCGGGCTTTAACCGTGCTTTGAAAGAAAAATTGGTTTGATCGGGCTTTAACCGAGCTTTGAGAAAAAATTGGTTTGTTCGGGCTTTAAGGCTAGGCTTGGGCTTTTTTGTCCATATGTACCGGTAAATGCCCTTCTACAAATGGATGCATGTGCGATTTACCTCGTCTATGATGACCGTGGGACTGGTGCACCAGGGATGCTCCAGAGTGTGTGGAGTACCCTTTTTTAAGCCAATGGTCGGGAGATGTTCATGTTTCTTGGAGCAATCCTTTCATATTTATGTTTTATGTTCATGTTTTCTTTGATCATCTTTGTATGATTTGAATTTGGTTTGCAAAAAGGTAAAGTTAGAAAGGGGCGAGTACCTTGTTTTAGTGGTTGTGGGCATTGCTATATCATTGTACAACTCATCAATGCATTGGTTCACTTCATCAGGTGCCACTCATGAATGTCATGATGTACGATAGATTTACGGGATGGTCCTCTCGATTGTCATTGTTGTCTTGGATGGTGGTGGTTAGTGGTGACTGTTGCCAAGACTGCCACCGTCATTAGATCTACTGATTAGTGGTGTTAACGAGTCAATCAACATTTAATTACTTGAGCATTAAAAAAAACTTATGGAGCTTCACATGTGAATATGAACAGATTCATTATTTATGGAAATGCTAAACATATTCACATGTGAAAGGAAGTTGCATAGTAGAATCTATTGTGAAGTTACTTGTATAAAGATGGACACCATTTTACACAACACACACATTCACATGTAAATCGACATAGCAGAATCAGGTGCAAAGTTACATGTTTGCAGATACACACAATTTGCAGCAAACACATACAACTTCATGTGTGAATATGTTTTGAGATAGACATCATTTACTTCACATGAAAACATTGTGTGTTTCCTAAATATATACACTTGGTGAATGTGGTCATATCCTTCAATGGGATACCAAATATCCCCTAAATACCCTTTTCCCTTGGATTTGTTCTTGTTAGAGAGAAATCATCCTCAAGAAATCTTGAAGCGAGTCCGAATACACACAAGGTTTCTGTATGCTATTGAGTCATTACGTCTAACTTGTATTGCTATTGAACAAGATTGGTGCACTCACCGATGAAACCTTTTAATGGGTTTTCGTCTGTGTGAAGCAAAGATCGATCATCGATAAACTTGGAAAGATATGAAAATAGCTGTTATTTTGAAAGGAAAAAAAATGAAAGATTGCATTTTGAAATAAGTTGGTTGGCAAGAGGAGTGCAATCTCCATATTGCCCCTTCAACCTCTTCATTTCATTTGTACAAAGCAACTCTCATCCAATATATGAAAATGCCACAATTAATCTTGTCCCTTGATGAAAATGATCTGATGGTTGAAAATTGTTTGTGCATCTTCAATCTTGTTGGTGTTTTCATTTGAACCTCTCTATTTTCACTTCATTTTTGTTACTCTCTTTCAAAGGCAGAAGTAATGCATAATTCCTTGATTACTTCAAGAAAATGTTCTTAGAGTTTGTTTGGTTTGTAGAATTTTTGGAATTCGTAATCGGATTCCATTCTCATATCGTGTTTAGTTTAAAGTAAAGTTCATAATCGAATTCCCACAAACATTAGATTTAGAGATCTCACACGGTAGTTGTTATTTCACGGAATTTTATAGAAATGGTTTGTAATAATGTTTTGAATATGTTAAAAACATTCGTTTTGTAATAATCATTAATAAAAAGTAATTTATAGTTATTTATAATTTGTTTTTACAAAATAATCTATAAAGAATAAAATTAAATTCCATTTCAAATTCCACACACCAAGGATTTCAAATATTTCAGCAAAATTCAAATCCCTCAAAATCATTCCATCAAACCAAATAGCAAACCGTTATCATCAATTGTTTAAATAGCAATTGCAACTTCAACGGTTCCATTTTTTTCTTGGTGTTGCAACATTAACAAAATAATAACTAACGGGGAATTTTAAGTATATAACCATAGAGATTTTAATTAAATCCATAGCATTTTCACGAGTATAAAGCCATTTTTTCTTAAACTTAAGTATAAAGCCTTTTTTTCTTGAATAAGCCAAAAGGTCATAAATTTAATCAAAAACTCATTTAAAGTTAATTCCATAAATTTACCTTCCCCCTCATTAGAAGAAGTCCAAAAGCAAACCACAAGAGTGGCGCCTGCTTAGTTTAAGCTTGACTCCAAAGGTCAAAAGTACCAGAAGGTCCCAAGTTCAAATCCCAGGAAAAAAATCCCTTGTGACCACGGAGGTTCAAATGCGGTGACTCCGGGCTATCTGCAAAGCAGGTGGTCGCTCTGGGATTAATCGGCTCGCATAACGGGTTGGATATCCAGGTTAATAAAAAAAAGTCCAAAAGCAAAATAAAGCCAAGAACACAAAAACTGCAGAATTTCCTCTTCAAATCAAAGCAACATAACATACAAACTACAAATAGAAAACCAATGTTTGAACACCAAAATCAAAATCACCTCAACTATCTATGCAAAAAAATTGCATCAAAGGGTTCTTTACATAAAAACCATTTGTCATCTCAAGAAACATCCATCTCTTCCCATAGAGACAACTTCTGTACAGTATGCTATACAAATAAACAAACAATACAACCTGCCTGCCTGTTATTTCTTCTGCTTGCTGTCCCCCCAACACATCTGTATTCATTATCACACTTTTCAAGCTTTGATTGCTTCAATTTGTATTGCCATTGTTGGTTGTGTAGTACAATTTACTTGATTATGATCCATTGAACTCGGATGGGATAGCAGCAGCAGTAGGAGAAGGAGATTTTGACGAGTTAGGGTGTGGTGGAGGAGCAGTTAAAGAATACGTAAGCCTTGATGAAGAAGAGTTCTCGATTAGACCAGCAATCCCAGCAGTTGCTATTTGAGCATTTGAAGGAAGAAAAAGATCATGCTTCTGATCTTTATAAGCTGCCCAAACCTGCCATAATGAGCTTAATAAATCAGATGAAATCCATACACAATATCAACTTATATACATTTAAAAATTAACTCCATTTCAGGGAAGAAAGACTAATTTCTTGACCATCCCCTATGATAAAGTCGGCTTTGTAGGATGTCAAATATGTCTAAATAACCTAATAGATACTTATACAATAAGACTTGTGTTTATAGGATCAAACAATTAGGCGTCCTATGTAAAAGTGTTACAATAAGTTGATAGGACGCTGCATCCTTTACAAGTTTTTTCAGACACTTGGGAAAAAAGGCGTTCTATTAGTATTTTTTATGACATTATTTGAAAAGGCAACTTATCAAAACAAGTGTCCAATAAAATGACGAGTTCATAGGACATTTCTGACACTTGTCCTATAAAAAAGCTAACAAAGACACTTTATTTGAAAAATGTCTATTAGGGTGCTCATCCATTTGGTTTTTAACACTTTTACATAGGATGCACAAATGCTTAATCTTATAAACAGAAGTGTTATAAAGCAGTCTACTAGGACATTTAGACATATTTGGCGTCCTAAAAAAGCCAATTTTGTTGTGGTGATCATGCTTGGTTTTCTTGATTCAAACAAACCATTGTTCATGCAAAATGAACATTACACTTTAATCACAATATCTGTATCTATTTTCTATTTGGCAAGTCATATTATATATAAAGCGTCAATCAGTTGAGATTTTACACCACAACCAGAAAGTAATTATATCATAAGCATGGTAGTGACTTACTTCAGAGGAATCTAGTATGTCACGAACTTTAGTACAGTGTGCTCCTTCTGTTGCAAATGCATGCAAAACCTAGATCAAACACATGTCAAAATCAGTAAAAGAAGAGGGAAGAAATGGCGAATAAAGACCATGACATATTAGGGCATCTCAAAACCACCACTAAAACACTACTTATTTTTGTGTAAATTGAAGGAGACCTTTATATTTAGAGGTCTACTATTCATGGCCTCTAAAAATTGTGTGTAGTTTTTCGACTGTTCAAGCAAATTGGGTTTTTCGGCCAACCCGTGTGCATACAACTGAAGCAGTTGAATGATGAAACCAGAAAGAGTATAAATGCAAACATTATTTGAAGATATTGATATATCCGGCTTCTTAATTTTCTTCTCTTTTCTAAGATCATCTCTAATAAAGACACCAAATGTACTTTTTTGCACTATTTCTGTCTCCAGTGAGAACACTGGTTGACACTAAAATGGTGTAATGAATAGTAAAACACCAGATTTGGTGTAATAACACTATTCATAATATAGTTAAGGTTTCAAAGTTACAAATTGGTCCTTCAAGTTTGAGGTTTTATATTTTTAGTTTATTTTATTGTATAATGAAATTTTAATTTTACATGTTACACATACTATATCACAAATTAGATTTACATCATTGTTTAGTTTTAATAAATTTAATTTTTATGTATTCAACATTATAAATATTCAACTAAACACACCAATAACATATTTGGAATCAATTATAAACAATATAGTTCGGTTAAAATAGTATAATAATATAATTTATCAAGTTACTGTAGAAATAAAAAAAGTGGATATAATTTGCAAAGTTACAAGTATAGGAGTATTTATTGAGAATATATATTATCATATTAAATAAGAGTATAATGAAAATATTCTATTTTAGTGTAAGAAATGGTGAAATGGCTCAAAGAAGAATCGGTGTTTACACCAATTTTTTACACCAAAATAGTGTATTGGTTGGACATGGTCTAAATAGCATGAGAAATTGAAAAAAGAAACACTTGGCAACAACTCCACCATGTTCGGCGACCTAAAGTGAAATGAGCTAACCTCAATTGCAAGCACCCGACCGATTGATGCTTCAGACTCGCTCCACTTCATTTGAGAGGAAAGTCCGTTTCTCCCTCCTGCTCTCCAATCAAGAAGCCCAAGCAGTACTTCAATGAGCCCAACCCTACAAAAGATCATTTTTGCAATTTAGACAATTAGAAACTCTGGCCCTTCTATTAGCTTGCCAATCAATCAAAGTATCAAACTGAATATATTAAGGTACCAATTGATCATATCACCCTACTTTTCTAATATTTGTTATATGGTATTCAGTTTATTATTTAGGGACTGGAAGCTTGTCCTTCTGTTCTGTTACATGCACACATTTGTTAATGTTTTTGCACATGACCCACTAGCGAACTCACCTAAGACCTTGTGCAACAAGTGCATCCCGTGCTCTATTTCCGGCAACCACCACACGTTTTAGTGTCTCAAGTGCTAGTATGCTTCCACCTTGCCATCCAATAGCTTTCATCAACAGTGGAACAACCTGGAATCAAAAAAAGCGAAAAGACAAAGGTCAGGGAGATGTTGATTTATGAAGGTGCATATTTCTACTCTGCAAAATGGTGACAGGAAAAGATCCCCTCCACCCACCCCAAGAAAATAGCAAATCACATGAAAATGCAACATAATTTGCTCTAATGCCTATTTCATGCAATGTACTTCAAAACCTTCATTTTTGTACTTCATATGTGACATCTCAAACATTTAGGTATCTACTTTACATATGAGAAAGCATGAAAATGCATACTTTGGTCTAAACGTTAGAGATATCACATCTGAGATACCTAAATGAATTTGCAAGTACATTACACAAAATAAGAACCAAAATGAATTCGCAAGTACATTACACAAAATAAGACCAAACGGAAGTACGTTGCATTTTCATGCAATTTGCCAAAAAAGAAAGAACAAAGCTTGCAGCTATTAATATGAAGAAAAAATTTGTATCAAGTTTAAATCAAGCATAAAGGTTAGTAACAACTCGTAGGTCCACATAAAGAGAATAACAACTCAGATTTTGCTCAAAATTCCAAGAACTTTGAGAAACTTTGAAGTATTCAAGTACAAGGGGAAAATGGGCAAAAAAACACAAGCATGTACCTGTGTTGTCCCAACACTAGTTGCTGCCATGGCTTCTGCGCATGTTGTGCTAGCTGCCAGTTGATGCAGCACTCGTAAGCAGCTGAGACGCACACGCTCTTGAGGAGTTTGTGATGCCTGGGATGGATTCTCCTCGCCTTCAACTGATGCATCTGGCATTTTTGATTCGTCTGAGGATGGACCTTCACACCTTGCCTCAAAGGCTACTGCAGACAATAGTTTGGGCACATACCCAAGATATCCAACATGATCTGCCAGTGCAGGGTGTACTCGCAACAAAGACACCAAAGCAGCAGACAACAGCAGCGGGAGCTCTGGATCAGGTCCGATGTCGTGATGTGTAGCAGCGATTGATGAAAGATACTGATCTAGCAGCCCTTCCAAAAATCTCTTGGGATTTCTAAGCGGGAATTTAGGATCCTTCAAGAATAGCCTCACATAGATTCCTCCAACCTATTGGCGAGCATTTGACATCATCATCAGTACAAACACATATACAAACCCAATCTTTCGAGTGGGATATACTGGGCTCGCTTGGTCTGGTTTTGTTCGTTTTGGTTGTCGGTACAAACACATGCATAAATAAAAATGAGCATAGCAGGTGCCTATAAATACCTGAGGCTCGTCTCTCATTTCTTGTTGGCTAGACGCCTGTTCAGGTACATCCCAATCCAAAACACGACCTTTCATCTGCTCCTGGTAAACATCTGATGCCATCGTTGAAACTTGTGCAGCCAACGAAGCAGCCATTGCAGGTGTCCATACAAGTTCTGGAGTTTCTGTGGTTTGTTCAAGAGCACTTATAACAGCCTCACCAGGACCATCTCTAATAATAGATACCAATCCATCTGGCAGAAATCTTGCCAGTGTAATTGCCACCCTAGGCCCATGCATTGGTTGCGCAACAAGCTTCCCCAACAAAGAGGCAGCCGCTGCCCTTTGAGGTAATGGGACTTCTTCTGCACAAGAAGACAAATGTTCAATAACATATATATAAAATATTAACCAAACAAACCCAGTATATCCCACCTGGAGGTGGGGTCTGGGAGGGTAAGATGTACAGACCTGACCTCTACCCTGAAGAGTAGAGCACCCAGTTCAATAAAAGATATACATATATATATATATATGTGTGTGTGTGTGTGAAATTCTAATCTATAGTCAATAAGCAGCACGGGAAGAAATATTACCACGCAACGGCAGGAGAAGTTCAAGAATGTACACAACTCCACCATGCTTGGCCGCTGCCCATGCAAGTTCTGGTGTGCTGGCTAGGGCATAAAGAACATGGAGAGCCCCTTCACGACAATTGGGGGAAGAGTGAAGCATTTGTAGTAAAAGGAGGACACTAGACCCATCTGCAACCATAGCCTCCAAGCAAGGAGCATGGGTGGTTAAGCGTGAGAGCACACTCAAACATAGTTGTGGAATGTGGCTTCCGGATGGGACAGGAACGGAAAAGCATTCAAAAAGAGGTAATAACTTTTCTTTAGAAGAAAATACAGATGCCAAATTTGGGTCACTTGTTAGCAAATTCTGCAAACAAACAAAAAAAGGTGTAATAAGCCCCCTTTTTATTTCATCACCAAAGAAGAATTTTCTGAGGATTCAATTCTCCATTCTAAATAAATGATGATACATAGGACAAAAATCATGATACCTGAAGAGAAGTCAGTCCAAGTTGAAGGTTGCCAACCACACCCAAATCCTCCTTGTCTGTTGAGTTCCCATCAGATGACGTTACAGAATCATGTACGGTTTTCTCCTCGCTATTTGATTCAAGCTCCAATGTTTCATGGGTCGAGCCACTCGTCTGAGTGTCAGGCTCAGTAGCAAATTGATTGTGTACAATGCTTGATATAAATTCGACAAGGGCAACACAAAAAGATTCTGGTTCACTGATCTCAAAGTCAGGCTGATCATTGTAGACCCTTAAATACACATTGCCAATGAGGATCTCTTTTGATAGAGCTTCATAGAGAAAGGTATGTGAATCCTTCAAGCTATGAGAACCATCAGGTGCTAAGGTTGCGCGCTTCTGATCTACAAACTTCAATAGCTCTGCTCGGGTTGAAGAGTTCCAAATAATCTGCCACCATATGACACCATGAAAAAATGATTATGCTCAATTGTCAGCACAAATAGAGATCCCCATGTATAGAGGTCATGTCATATAAATATTGAAACAAGCTTTATCTTCCAGCAAAATGGATGAACTTTCACAAATTCAGTATAATTGAAATATCACCAGCTCATCAGTTTGACACTACTGATATTGCCAAGGAAAGAGATCATAGCATAAATGCAGATAATCTCCTTACATATCTAAAAGGAAGAACTGATTTACCTCTGGCAACTCCAAATTTGAGTTCAATTTTATCAAGAGGTCCTTCGGTAGCTCGTCTTTCAGCATGCTGGCAAGCTTAGGAGTTAACAAAGCTTTGAGAGCATCAGCTGCATCCTGGTTATAAGGTGTTGGACTTTCAGCAGCCATGCCACTAATCCTTGACAAGGCATGAGCAGCTCGTATTGCATGCAAATTTTTGGCAGTTTGCACGCTAGCACCAACTCCGTGAGCCTCTGCAGCATCAGGTTCTTCGGCTGTTGAATCATATTCAAGCAACAACGGAAATAGGTACCTGAGCACAAAGAGAGAAGTAACCCAGATCAACAGAACACTCCAGAAATCACAAAGGATTATATGAAAGATAAAATAAAAAGAGATGCTGGACAATTGATCATTTCTTGGATGCACATAGTCAAGGTATTTTAGAACAAATAAAAACCGGCACGAGGTAATAAATTCCTTTGCTTTAAGCAAATGCATGCGACAGTATTTCCAATTCCAAGCAGACTATAAATGCGCATCTGGGATGATATTGAAAATTGGTGTTACCAATGGCGAAAGAACAGCAAGATAAATAACCAAGCACATACAAGCAAGATGATTATGCAACAACAAACTATACGATTATTATACAAAGATATGAACAAGGGTTGCTGCAGCTTATAGCATGGTTATAAGTAGAAGGCACTTCCAGACCTCATGCTAAACAGATTGTATAACAAACAGCCATAGTAAATCAAAGGAATGAACTGAAAAAACAAAGCACAAAGTTGGAAGTATAATGGATACAGCATAAAATGCACAATAAACTTACCACAACACCCCTGCCTTCAACAAAGCATTTTGTAACTCCGAGGACACACAAAGATGAGCAATGGTTTGAAGAGCTGCATCCACAGCGGCCGGTACAAGCTCAAGTTCAGTACAGTGCACAATGTCCCCAACTAACCCAGATATCTCAAACACCTCCGCTCTGGCACTCTCAAACTGGCTAAGGCTAGAAAACGTTCGCATCACATTTGTCACGATAATTGTGGATGGTTCATTTCCAGGAGTAGTTGGTTGAACAACACACATGCATCGTGATAGAAGTATTGCAAGAAGCTGTATGCCACCATCCCTCACAAGCTCTTCCCCATTCAATGATGAAGATACACACCTAAGGGCAGCAAATGCCAAACGACAACAGCTTCACTAAAAGAACAACAAATAAAACAGTAGATTCCATAATGCAGTTATGGCACTTACGTCAGCCACATGAGCTCTGAGGCTGCAACAAGTAAAGGTGCACGTTCCAAGGACAAGAAATTGGTATCATTATCATCCACTGTCACAGCATTTAACAGCATTGGATACCCAGCATATTTAAATGGCTCCAGGACATCTCCATACCGTCTATATAAGATGCACTGTCCCTTCAGCAAAAGCAGCAACCTCCAAGGTTGTGGGCCTTGCAACCCTTGCATTGTGGCCTATGCAGAATCATATTAACAGACTTCTCAAATACTTGCAACAGCAAGATAACAATGGTATAAATTTTCAGAAGAAGAAAACCACACAAAATATGTATATGAACAGGACAATCTCCATTGAAAACAAGTTGCTCTATAAGTTGATGAGAAATGAAAGTGATGCAATTGAACAGTCTCTTTACAATGTCAAAACTAAAATCTCATTTTCTGCACTTTCAATATCCCTAGGATTTTTTTTTATGTTGTGCTTCATATATGTTACATGGAGCTAAAATTACTCTTAACTGCAGATAGAACTAGAATACGAAAGAGCTTCAGGCATTGATAGAACACGTATCAACCATCAAGACAAAACTTTCTGAACACACTGAAAACTAAAGCATTTTACATTCTTAATCAAGGCAGTTAAATATGAATGTGATCCCTGAAAAGGAGGCTGGACAATTTGGCTATGGAACGCTAAAATGTCCAAGCTTAAAAATAGACCTTCTAAACATATTGATTGCACCAACATTGGAGCAAAAACAAGTATCTTACCTGTAGGCGCTCGTATGCTTTCTGCACTGCAAGAAACTTCTCTCTCCCTTGAGGATTTTTGTCTGGATGATATTTCATTGCAAGCTTTCTATACTGTCGCTTAAGCTTTTCCTCATCAATGTTCTCAATTCGCTTTGTTAGGCTAGAACTATCCTCTGAGTTCCCATTAGAGTAATTTTTATCAGAGTCATCTCTAGACACATCACTTAAAGAGATCTGTAATATGTTACAAGCTTCTTCCTCAGAAAGATCCATAGGTTTCCTCGTCAACTCCTCGCGCCACATTACAAGCAATGATTGCAAGAACTCAACATGTTCAACAATCGGCCAATTGGGAAATAGAATCTCATCGCATAAGTTGCGGAGGTAATAGCGGTGGCACCACATCTCATCTCGAAGCTCAGGATATGTAACTGGTGGCATAGGAGCATAATCATATAAACAATGACAGTGCTGGGATAACTTCTGGGGAAAATCACCAAGATGCTGCAAAACCTGGATGAATAAAATTGCATGAACTTCTGCAATTTTATAAACAAATAGTTTCTGAACACATTATATATCATATTGCATACTGATCACATCAGAATTAATGACTTCGAAATTTGAAGCCAACAATGTGCAACTAAGCATAGTCATCAGTTTGAACTACCTGATGAATGAGATTGTCTGCTCGCATTTTGTGCGTCCATATAATCTCAGGAGTGTCAGAATCAGAAACCATTGCTGCAGCAAATGCAGTTGGACCACTACGCTCCAGAACATACAGTAAAGACTCAGGTAGAAGCCCTCCGAGCACACTCCGCTTTGCCAAGGGCAATGACGAAGAAACTGCAGCTTCTTCACCTCCATGAAAAGCTTGGTGAACATGGGTACTAGAGAAGAGTTGAGCAATTGAAAGGAGATTAGATCCAGGGTATGCCAAAGCAAAATAAAATATGCCAGTACTGTATAGTCTTATCATCGCCTTAGGATTTCTAGTAACAACAGCTTTTATCAAAGCAGCAGCAACCTCCACAATAGCTGGTTCCCCAGAAAGCATGGCCTACATTAGAGTAATGCTATTATAGCATATGTAAAAAATACAGCCAGATACCCATGGAATATATCATTATACAGCCAGCTCTAAACACAGATGTCATTCATAGATGAAAATGTGATTAAAAGTATATTATTAAGATAGCTTTGCTTGGAAAAATAGAAGGAACATGTATCACAGGCGCAAAATCTGCCTAAAATAAGTTAGCTTTTGCTTATTCTCATAAGAAATAGAAACATTAGATACCACAATCCCATAATGGGCTAACATTCAAATCTGCAAAAGAAATAAACTATTAGAAAGAATATTTGAGCACTTGGGCAGGTTTTCTGGAGAGGGTAATATGCAACCTTCGCTTTAGTTTCTCATGCAATATGCATACAATCATGACGTTACGTAGTTGCCCAAATACTAAATCCATGCAGTATCTAGATCAAATCTTACTTTAATCTCAAAACAACAGTAATATCACTGTAAACAAGAGAAGTAATAATAATTAGCTTAGAAAAGCATTTGAACTGAAGTATCATCCATTCATCCTAAAGCAATATAGCATTTTGATACTAAAGGTAGAACAGTTTCTTGTACAATAGCAAATGGCACATGCTCAGATATCGCAATTGATGCCAATTAAATTCATATTTAAGCTTACAGATGTTGGCTACAATGCCAATCAAATTCATGTTAATGCAAAAATAGCCGTTACAAAAAAAATCCGCTATTAACTTCACCACTCAAGCAACAATAGGTAGTCAACTAATACCATGGCATCATAAATTTTTTCACCTGTGCAATATGGGGAAGACATCGAAGACTTGACAAAATCCGTTTAACTCTAGGTGTTGGGGTAACAATCTCTCCAGCATCATCTATATCTGAATGTGCAGATACCATACTGTGTAATATGGACAATGCTGCCTCGCCTACCTGCACAAAGAAATCAATATTTGATATGGAAAATAAGAAGTAATAGAAGATTGATTGTAGTACTGGATACCAAGAAGATCTTGTAAAGAGGGAAAAACAAAGAAAATATATTAGTACGAAGACAAGAAGGTTAAAACAAAACAGCTCAGACGGAGCTAGTGAAGCTAAAAGCTACAATCTATATGCAATAATAATTGCAGGTTAAAGAGGCAAGAATGCTAAGTTTTGATCATTCTATCAAGTTAAAATGCTCCCTCTAATTTCAAACTAAATCAACCTTTTCACGTTTAGTTTTGTACCAAAACATATGTGCCAGAAGGTTCTCCAATTTTTTCAACAATATCCACAACCTCTTTTTCGCAGATTTTTATTCAAACTCCCATGTTAGTTCATTCATAATCATCAAGTTTGCTGCAAATCATTGTCTTTCTAATCATATTTCACAATTCAATTAAGTATTGTGGTTATACAACTTGCACATGATAGCTCATTATTTTTACATAATCTACAGAATCACAATCTTTTGACACTAATGTGACGAGATTTTTATATCCATCTAAACAATATGTTAATTGTCTGATGGTGATTCACCCCTCAAATTGATAAGTAATTTCCTTACATTTTTATATCTTGAGAAAGAAGTTATTTATTCTTGGAACCGAGTATATATGTACGTAAATCTCAAAGGACATGATAACAAAAGATGGTTATTTGGCCAAAAACCTTTTAGTGACAGAAGCAATTTCCAAGAACAAGGAATGTTGACGGTGATCCGTTTTTCAAACTCAACAACAGAGCCATACAGAAATTTCCAACCAAACTACATCAATTTCATAATATTATAGTTATAACACATTTGACACACACTGAAAATTCAATGGTTGGAATCTCCCCATTCATCAATAATCATCAGGGGAAAAAAAGTTATCGATAACAGGCAGCAAGTTTGCATCAGACAAGTCACATCTTAATGTTCTAATTTTTATCGTTAATCATATTTACTCAACATATGCACACAAAGCATATAAATATACCTGGGGAGGTGTGAGAACAGGAACCCGGACAGCCAGTGCCCAACGAAGTTCACGAATATCACGCAACCTCTTCCAGTCTGGCATTCCAGAAGACCAACACTTTGTTGTCCAATCAATGGCTTTCTTTGACCAAAACCTTCTGATAGCATCTTTCTCCACTGGGCCAGCTTGTGCACCATCCTTGTCAATAAACAACCATTCCTTCAACGGTTCCATGAAAGCAGAAGCAGCTATCAGATTAGACTGCAAAGGAATAACGGTTCTTTCTGAAGCTTCATGAACCGTTGTCAGTAAATCAACCGCCAGAACACACCCCCCAACCAGGACACAAGCTTCCACATTTGAAAGAACCTTCATTAAAACCTGAAAAAGAAAACAACCTGTGCCTTAACAACAGCATTGAGTAAGGAAAGCAGATATAAAGCTGTATGCCAAATTGTAGCATAAAATTTTTCTTTTCTATAGTAATGAGCTACCATGGAAAAAACACAATTCTGTCTGCCAAGACAGTAGTGCTTGTCCTATCTGAAGTTACAATAGAACCTATATATGTTTCTCACTAACAAGCTATATTAGCATCAAGAAAATTCATGAGTGAATCTTAAGTAGGAGATGATACAAAAAGTAAGCTTTTCACTCAAGGAATGAAAATGGAAAAAGAAAAATCAACCAACTTTAAGCACTCACAAAGAATTCAGTCAATCAACGGGATATTGCCTTTGTATACAAGCATATCAACAGTGCTCATATGCAAGCAAGCTCGAGCTTTGGGTCAAACACTATAATATAGGATTAGTTAAGCACATTACGGTTTATCCAGTAGATTAAAATACTATTGTGGTGAAATTGAAGTGAACTATAATCATATCGATCTCCACAAGGATATACCATTTAGAAAATATAGAAAATACTCAATCAGGTTGAAGTATTCTCCTTAAATGGCCTCTCAGTAGACAGAAAGAAGAGTAGCTCGGCTTCACCAACACAAATTGCTCTAGTGGTCTATATGACTAGATATTTTTGTATTCAGTAATAGACATTAAAATCAGTTTACTGCAACAAGAGATAATCTAATATCAAGTCGACTCCAGCATTGAACTGATCCTTTTGTGCATATATTAGCGTTCTTTATTTTCGTTGGGGCGAGGGAGGGTATGACTGTAGTGGGTACTGGGTAAAGATTTTGATTTACCTTAAGAAGAAGCAGCAGACGGTGCCTTAATGCTCTATCGTCGGTCCTGTCCAAGAGAACTGTAATGTGTGCTGTACCTTCAAAAGGACCAATGGTATTATGATGTTGCTCATATACAATCGCCATCGCTCTAGCACAAAGCTCTCTGACGGAGAAGCCTCCACCACCACCGAAACCATCTAGTCTTCCCATGTCGCACCAATCATCAGAAGCTCCCAGTTCATCAGGAACAGCACCATCAACAGTAAGTCCCGTGTCTGCATCACACAAGAACCGATGGTACAATGCTCGAAAGAAAGCAACTGGATCACGCAGAGGAAATTTTTCTGCCCTCGCATTGCTCCCACTCTCAAGAAGCAACCGTAGATAATATTGGCCTACACAAACTTCTTTGGACAAGCTAGGATATCTGACACAGAACTCAGTGTAGTTCCAAGATATCTGAGGAAGGCTATCTTGCCCACTCGTCTCTGAGGATGCACTTCCAGGAACGATATCTTCAGTTCGCTCCTTCTCAACGTCAAGTTTATGAACCTCTGCCTGCAGAGCCCCTCGCAATTCCTGCCTGGTGCGCTCATTCCAAATCAAGTCAGCACGGTTATGATCAAGACTAAAAGCTCTCCAAAATTCTGGCCAGTTCAATAGCAATCTTCCAGATCCCACTGGTGTACTCTCTATAACAACCTGAGCTGGAGCAGTAAGATCTGAATTCTGAATCCCAATCGCATTGGCATCTGAATCAGCTGAGATAGAAACTACTGATTCAACTAACGGCTTATCAGCAGCAGATGGCACATCAGGAGAAGCAATCCCTATGGGCTGATCAGATGGTTGAACTCCTGTAAAGGGCAATTCACTTGACAAGTTTTCACCGGTGTAAACTGCGGAGGACTGAATGGCAGGCACCTGTTGAGTGCTGAACACACCTGCACCTATCGGCTTTGACGGATCACCAACATCATAGTTAGTAGCAGATGACAGAGTATTTCGAGGTGATGATACACCTTTTCCTGCATGATGCTTCCTTTGTTGAAGTAAGCGTCTCCTTCTACTACTCATAGATGATACTTCTTGATTAAAGTAATCTTCGGGTTCTCCTTCAGAACGAGTGTGTAAATAAGCAACCAGGCCTGGCGGCAAAACTCTAGATAGTAATTCAAGAGCAGGTTGATAAGAGTCTGCCCAGAGTGCTACAAGTTGTCGACTAACTTCTCGTCGTTCACCAGAAGGAAGGAAAAGAGCACTCACCAAATGTCTCAGCAAAGCACCATCACGCAAAGCAGCATCACGCATGGACTCTGCTGCAATTGCATCTTCCTCGGCAATTGTACGCATGATCACAGCCACTGTTTCCCGTACACTTTCTGCAGGGTGTCCAAATAATGCAAACAGCCGACGTTTCAAGCCTGCCACTTGGCGTAACAATTCAACAAAGACAGTATACTGTGTAGTTTCACCATGTGGGTCACATATCATGGCCTCCAAAACCTCCACAACAGACATTGATAATAATGGTGAAACAGACATCGACTTCAATCGGTTTACCAGAATAACAAGATTACCCTGATGAGCAAACAACACAGACTTTGTGTGCATGATTGTAGCATGCTGATCACCTTTTGAGTCCATCAATAAGTTGTTATCCCCAGGACCGCCGCCAATAAGTACTGCAATAAGTTCTGCAGCTTCAGCTGCTACTCCTTCGGAACCATTTCTTAGCAAACCCATAATTCTTCCAACAGCTGCAGGAAAAGACATCACATGTGAGGTAGCAGTTCTTGATGCCAGTAATCTTCGTAAACAGGCAATGAACCCTGTAACAGTTGCAGCTGCTTTAGGAGAAGGAGGTGGTAGAGGAGGAGATTCTGGAGGCAGATTTGGAGCAGCTGGGAGCATTGTAATCAGAGCCATCAAAGTTACTTCAGGGACTTCAATATTGGGAGGCACTCCAATATATGGAATACATGCATTAAACTCCCTTATTCTGCGCCAAAGTTTAGCTCTTGACCCAGGGATGGAACCTCCTTCAGCCACAGCATCTTTGGCAGATGCTGCCAAGTGTTTCAAATGCATGGTAGCAGTCTCCATATCAGCTCTAGAGCGTTGTGACATACCAGAGACTTGTTGAAGTTGCAAATGAGCTCTACCACAAGGCGGATCAATTGGATGACCAGGCATAGTGAGTCTAGGCAGCACAGGCACTGAACACTGACCCTGTACAGAGTATTCCACATAAAAGCATGTTTAGATGGAAGTACAGATAAATTCATTTTTGTGTTGATTACATTCACTGATACTCAACCCAACCCAACCCAACCCAACCCAACCTAAACAAGCATGTTTAGATGAAAGTACAGATAAATTCATTTCGTGTTGATTTCGTCCGTTGATACTCAACAACCTAAACAAGCTTATGTATTTATATAAAAAGGTTTAGTATAGAGTCAATGTTTATTCATAAATAGAAGCATACAGTGAGCACATATTAATACCTCCGTTTGTATCATATCCCGAACTGCTGCAAGTAAACCATCTCTAGATGTGCTAGAATATACCTGAAACAAGAAAACTTGCTCTTAGATGGTCAACTTGAATAATATAGCAAAATCCTTGAGTGATAATTCTCACATGGACAGGACATCCGTCATTGAATTCAATGGCAAACATCTGTGGCTCCTCAGCAAATCGGACAAGCGAACTCACTGCAGATAAAGGACGGACAATAACAGCCTGCAGCATTAAATATATAGAAATCAAAAGATTAATCTATGAAGAGAATATCAGCGGTAAGGATTACAAATTTAGATGAGTAATGAATTTTGTTCCTCCATTATTTGAAAGCAATGTCATGTTCATGTGGGAAATCATTGTAATGGCTTACTAGAGTCTTTTTCATCGATAAGTGGTGACTTAAGGTACTTGAGTGCTTTGACTTGTTTTCTTACATCAGGGATTCAGGCTCCTGTTAAATTTCTTGCTTAAATTGAACTAAGATATCTGTCCTCTAATGACTAGTATAGTGATATAAACTGTAAGGTCGTCTGTTAATTGTGTGAAGTCCATGACTATGGCAATCGATCAAATGCGATTACATCATTGATATTTATTTGAACTTTCAGATTACATTTGTAGAATCTCTTTAGTATTACAATGGATATCTCTTTCCATTTGGATTAGGAGTATAAATGATTCTTTTAACCTCCAATTTCCTTTTTTAGAGCCAATTCATATATCAATGCAATGTAACTTTATAAGCAGGTTTGAAAGAGATAATCAAGAAAAGTCAGCATTAATAGCCAATTAACTATAATTCACTTATTTAGACTTAGTATTTCAGCTCCAAACCTTACTCTAGAATCTCCTTGATAATTTCTTATTAACTAAACCTCTTTTTATATTTAGATTACAACTAAAACAAGTTTCCTTTTAGGATCAGAACTTATCTGATGAGATCTCTTTTAAGACTATTACAGGATCTATCACATGCATCATAAATGTTCTGTCCTGCCTAAAATGCAACTTTCTTCATAGCAGATTTCCAGGCAATTTCACACAAATAAACCTTTGCATTAGATACCTCCTATATATTCACATAAGCATCAATTCTACATAAATAAACATTTTGCACTCAATGTAATAATATTTATAAGGAACTGCAAGTAATAATGGAAGTGATTAACTACTTTGCATGGTAAGTGGAGATCTATAGATTTACCAGGGAAGTGTAACAAAATATGACACCAGCTTACCTCATAGTTCTCTGGGCGCCTCTCCACAAGTGAAACCTTTGTTAGGATAAGTTGACGAGGTACAGCATCACCTTGTTCCCCAAGTCCCCCTTTTGGTCCAACTATCAAACCCAGTCCAGGTGCACCAAGTGTCCCGTGTGCCGCAGTTCGCAATCTCATCACAGACCAACCCCCACAAGGAGTTTCTTCCGCCCCAACACCATCTTTAGCTGCATTTTACATGAACTCTTAGGATTCTAATATGTATCTAACACATGCATACATTAGATGTATATACACGCAAAACTATATACCAACTAGGTGAAGTTCATGACTTACCCCTTCGTTGTAAGTACTCACCAACAGTGAGTGATTGAGACTTTTCAATAGATAGTGTTACTCCAACTGTTGACTTTGCTGTTCTTGTCTAATCAGAACATTAGAAAAAAGGTCAACTAAATGCAAATTGTTAACCACTCAAAAGAAATAATTGAGAAAATGGATGTAATACAGTTTATGTGGCATGCATATTGTGGAGGTAGGAAGGGAGCAAAGGAAGTTAGAACTTAGAACCCATGTAAAGCAAAAGATAGTGCATAGAAGATAGACTAAATGTAGAAAAGAGCTCACCAAATTAGCTATGATGGATGAATTTGAGGTCCCTGAAGCAGCTTGAAAAGATTTAGATTTTCTTCCATATAGAGTACATAGAACAAAACCTCCAGGATCGGCATTTTTCCGCCCATATGCATCAGATAGAAGAATAATAGCAGGGGAATCCATGTCTCTAAAATCCAGACACCATCGTAAATCTCCAGATTTTGGATCAATAAGTTCAACTCCAACATATGTCACTTTCAGTTTCTGTTGACACATGTAATATACCAGTCACTATGTGGTACTATTTAGACAACAAAGCAAACAAGCATTTTCTACCAAATGATTAACGGACGCCAAATTACAACTCATTTAGAGCACATGCAATTGAATATAAACAGGCACATTCCTAAGCATATGAACACAATGCTGAATCATCAACCATGCAACCTTAATATTTTGAGCAATTTCTTACAAGTTCTAAGTGATACTTCCAGCCATAATCTTGTCATTGGCTTAATAGAATTTAAGCAATGTTCAATTATCTACTTGAATTTAGTAACATCTCAAGAGCATCCGTTATGTACATTCATCAGATAGTGCATCCATTTGCTTTGAACAAAAAAACATCAACAAGCACAAGGCTTTTTCCCTTTCTTAGTTGAGATGCCTTGAGGGCACATACACACCTACCCTGACTAATTTTATAACAATGTCTCTAACAGCAACTGGAGTTCAGAAGTGGTGGCTGGTGGTGTTATATTAATTATAATTTTGATCAAGTGAAATGCCAGGTATGTTCCAAATGTTTACCCTTTCATGGACTCCACAATCATACGAGCCTTGATGGACTCGAACTAACCTCTTAAACATAAATTTAGGAAGTATATGTGATTCTTGTTGGCATTGTCTCCTCCGGGAAGCATGTGTGTAAAATCTTCAGCCATGTTGTATTAAGAAGGACCAGCGCTTAACATCATGATTCATAAGAAGTTGAGTAACACAAAAAACTTGACAGCATATTGATCCTTTTTTCGTGATTCACTAAAGATTGACGGAGTTACTTGCTGGAGGATGGTGAAATCAATATGGGCATCCTTGGACATCCTTCAGCCGTGTATTATACTAACTGAACTTTCAGACAAGACGAGAAGGCCTTTTCGTGATTAAAATTGGGGGAAATGCATCAAAATGCAACAAAGTGTGGTTTAATTCCCATTTAGTCTAACGACTAACGAACTATTTCTGAATCGATGTAATACCCTTTAATCTTCCTAATTTGAAAAGAAGGTTACTAACATTCAATGGCGTGCATGTCAGGTTGTCAATTATATTGTGAAACTGATTACATAGATTACAAGTCAAATTATAGTTTTTGTACTTTTTCTTTTAAAAACTCAAGATTTTTATTTCACTTTTTACATTTACGTAGGTTGAGAACGGGTTAAATAGATAAAATGGGTACCAAATAAGAAAATTTGGAAGTTTGTTACAACGGTTGAGGAAAAGAAAATAGGAACTAAACCAAACTTTATTGCATTGTTGATGCATGTTGCCGTTAAAATCATTAAAATCTACCTAGTAGTATACATATTTCTCCTAAATGCACCTGAATTGCTCAAGATCTTCAAGTGATCAGCAACTTGCCTTGCATCAAGGAGAATAACTTATTTTTAGTAACAGACTAACAGTGTGGGCCAATCTTGAGGCTGAGTTTGGGCTTAAACAATTCCTCTTGCATGAGGCCACTGGATAATTAGAATTGAGCAGCCACATGACTAGCAAAGTAGTTAAAGGCTCAAGTCGCAGTTAGGCCCAAAAGGGTGACGGGGCCTAGGCGCAGGGTGAGGCACGGGCCTCAGGAATGTGAGGCGCATCTTATAAAAAAATGTATATATACACAGAGAGAGAGAGAGAGTTATACACAATTGAAACATGTAGCAAGTACTCCAGTGCAACAACCAGCAGTAATTCGATAGAGCAGAATGGAGAACAGTTTAAAGCGTGAGCCATGAGGGAGAAGTTTCAAAGTCTGGGTATTTATAGAGAAAGAGACTTGAAGTTATAAGAACTGGGTATTTAATATTAGGGTTTGACTTATGTCATCTATTTAGTAACTTTTTTTAAGAAGTCTAGGAGGTAAGAAGATGAGAGAACTTATTTAAAATTGGGGTTGACTTGGTATTTAATAACTCTTTATGTGGCGTGCCTAGGCCCACAAGGCGCCTCAGCCAAGGCGCAGAGCCTTAGTGAGCCTCGTGAATACACCTAGCCTCGACTTTAAAAAAGTCCAAAACCTTGAGCCTCAAAGCCTAGGCGCACCTGCGCTTGTAACAACTATGATGACTAGGTCAGATCTCATCCACAGTTAGCAATCCATGTAACAGGAAATAAACATTAACAGTTGGTTATCAGCCTGCAAGGGAACTTGGATGTTGGTAGTAGAACAACTGGTATGTCAGCTGGTTATCTGCCATGAAGGATCCTGAGGGGCCACGGATGAAGATGTCATATGGTACACGGGAAGTTTATGGCACATTTTTGGATTTTCCATATTGGACTTTTAAGTACTCACTCCATCCCAAAATAACGTTGTGTTATCGAATTTGGGGAAAAAAGAAAAGAAAAGAAATGGAAGGGAAAGAAAAGTAAAATATTATTTTTATTTGTGTTTTCGGAAGGGAAGGAAATGGAAGGAAAAGAAAAGAAATAAAATAATCTTTGGTGTTTTTGAACAGGAGAGAAAGTACAGAAAAGATGTAACCTTTACTAACATACCCTTTAAAAATATATTTATTAGAATGAACGCTTGGGTAATTTTGTAATTTTAATAATTTTTTAAAGGGTTTTAATTTCTTCCCTTACATTTCTGTCCCTTTCCTCCCATATTTGGATGGAAACTTTTGGGAGGAAACCTATCATTATTTTCCTTCCCTTTCCTTTCCTTTCCTTTCTCTTCTAAAAAAATTTCAAGAACACGAGTTTTTTTTTAATCTTTCCTCCCCTTTCCCTCCCTTTCCTTCGTAAAAAGGGTTTCGAGAACAGATGCGTAAGTGGCCACACTTATATTTTAGTTTGTCCCAAAATAGGTGCCCACTTATAAAAGTAAATGATTACTATCCCATTCTACCCTTAATATAAGATGGAGAAAGTCTCTCTCTATTATTAAGGGTACAATTGTCATTTAGTTAATTAAAAAGTGTAATAATTACACATTCCTAAAACTGTGTCTTTTTCATCACGGACACTTATTTAGGAACGGAGGGAGTGCATGCTATCCTGGCACTAATTGCAAAATTATATCACATAGCTTGTGAATTGTGATGAAGGTATCCTATTTTCAAAACAATATCAAGTATCACCGTCAAATGTCACTACATATCCGACGACCTGATGAGACTACTGACTATTGGGTTCAAAACTCAGTTGTTGAGGTTATAGATCCTACATGTAGTAAACATAGTCTTGCATCATAAAACCAAGACCAATAGTTATATCATTGCTTTCTTCGGCCAAATGATTATCAATTGGAACCCTACACCTTGACCTAGATTCTAAGCTGACCAATCTTATAACTCTAGTTTGCTATGTTTAGTCAGGGCATATGCACTCATTCCAAATTGTTTATCTAGCAGTAAGAAGAGGTTGCAAGTAAAGGTGGTATGAATCATAATGTACATTATCTAACCTTCTGTCTAGTACTTAAGCCTTAAGATGAGTTGGTTGAAGTAACAAGCAATTATCTACAAGTGGAGCGGCCTCAACATCCATTATATTTTAATGCAGGACTGAATACACCAAGATGCAAAAGATAATGAACATTGATCAGCAGCAGTAACCCCATGTTTAGTAGCTCATGCAAAGAGATCACAACAATTGGCTGCAAATGGAATCAGCTATTAATTATTTTAAGAAGAAAGATTATGTTATAATAAATATGGGAATTATAACTTATAACCTCATCATACCACTCCATCCTTATAGCTAGCTTACAGCTAACGCATACAAAGTTTGGATTAGCTGATGAGTGAACAAATGAACCAATGCACCAAGTGTAAGGCAACAAAGTGTGTTGTTATACCACATTAAATCACAAATCCTCACTGTCAAAGAAGCCCTAACAATAAAAGGTGCTTAACATCACCAATATGGTATAACCTTCAGTGTGCGCTATATTATTTCAGTATGCAGAAGGTTTACATGAAAACTACAGTCATATCACCAATATGCATCAGCTTTCAGCATTTGAGACAAGCTACTAGCAGGAACACTACTGCTATTAACACAAGCATCATATATCAACAGAGTATCATAAATCAATTCATAAATATGAGTGGAACTTACAAATGGGGCCCACTCGGAAGTCTTTCTTCGAAGATGAAGTACGGGATACTCGGCAACAGTGCCAATTTTACTCCACCTTATTCTGTGCAACTCAGTTAATATACTCGCTCTGTACCTAGATGAAAACTTTGTTCCTTTGAACTTCCCACGCCCATCAGTTCTTACATTTATAGTAAACTCCAGTGAATTCTCGTCCTTCCCTGGGATCGGAGATGACCCTTCATAATCATTGCTCACATCATAAGAATTGGTCACCGATAAGGTTGAAGGATCTAGAGTTGTTATAGTGTGATTTGATATACACAGTATCCTCTTGTATCGACCACGCCATGAATGTTTAACGACAAGGTACCGCGCCAAGTACTCGGGCTCTTCTAGGGAAGACGGTGGGTGTGATGGAGGCTGGGCGGCTGAGGATGATGATGAGCTTGTTGATGTTTCCGGAGGCGGATGGTGGGTGTGATCAGATGTGTGACGAAAAACGAAGTCCATTTGTGGGAGATATTGAAGGGAATACGGTTTAGGAGGGCTAGGTCTAAGAAATGACCATAGTCCCGTACCGGCCGCAGCCGGCCTGGCCGACGGTCTTTGGCGGGACTGTTTCGCACCCAGTTCTTCTGAAAGGTCCCCAGAAAGGATGGGGGAAACAGTAACTTTAACCCCTGCGGATCAAAACCTCAAACTCTCAAACAAATTAATTTCAAGATTCTCCATTGCAAAATTGATGGTAAACTGCTTTAACAGCTTTTCACGACAACCTCAACCCTAGAAATTCTACGATAACATATCAAAACCCTATATTTATCCCCAATTGCTCAACCGATCAATCACAATCCTGTTCAAGAAGTTGACAGTAACTCGATCAAAACAAAACCCCTCTGTTTTTCCAAGAATATTTCAACGCAGAAATCAAGGAAACAAAGATCAAAACTCTAGTAATGGCTGAATTGATTACAAGACGGAATTATAAGTAGGGTGTGGAGAAAACAGATGGAATTTTGACATACATTTGTGATCGATTGGAAATGGAATTGATGAAAGATTTAGTGGAAAGAACAGTACGATTAGGGTATGGATTAACCTGTAAATTTATTGATCGGAAAGATGAAGAGATATAAAGAGGGAGAGAGAAAGAAATTGGAGGTACAAACAACGATTTCCTGCTGCTGCGAGTATCCTTTTGCCCTGTGACAGCTACTTTCAGAGCACTCGGTTTCGTTAAAATAACAAAACGATGTGGGATTGCTTATAAAAATATGTTATTGAGGTAGGGTACCGGTAGTAAATATTTTTGAGTATTTAGATAAATAATTTATATTGGTGTCAAATTAGTAATAAAGATTTTTGAAAAAATTAAATCATTTTAATTTATAATAAGTTAATAAAGATTTTTATAAAAAAATATAAGTTATTTCAATTAAGCAATCTTATACGTCCTTAAAATAGGAATTATTATTTCACGTTTAAAATGATTTTTATATAAACAAAATGTAATGAAGTGACTTAATGGAATAAGATGGAATAAATTTATTTTTTTTTATTGAAATATTTTTAAAATAAAATTTAATTCTTTTTTAAAACATGGAATATGTCTCTTTTTACGTTGTATTTTATTCTTTTTAACTTTCATTTTATTGTCATAAAATATTATTGTTTTCTATAATTTGGTTAATATATTTAATTTATTAAATATTAATAATGACAAAAATAATATAGAAAAAGATATAAAATAAAAACTGTAAATTAATAAACTTCATATGTTTCATAAAAGAAAAGATTAATAATATATTTTTTGTTGTGAGATATATTTATTTTATTATAATTAAATAAATTAATTAAAATATAGAAAATATATAAACAATCGATTAGAGATAAGTGGTCAATTTAACAGTCTTGTTTTACCAAACGGTTGAACAATTATTATGTCATGTCATGTTATGTCTTGTGTTGTCTGGTATGGATGTTCATGGATTGAGTTGATCAATTTGAAAGCATTTGAACAACCCAACTTAATTTGAAAAATCTCAACCCAGTTCAAGGTGCAACCCAACCCAAACCGTACAGGTTGGTCGAGTTGATACTTTGATACATCAAAATATTCTCCTAATAACATTGAATATGTTGTTTTCTCTATTCTATTCATAATTTTTTTCATTATTAATCATTTGGTACAAATTATTCATATTTTTTAAGTTTTAAGTATATCGCACTCAATCAATTTTCTTAATTTGCATTTATGTATGTTCATAGTTACTGAACATATATACAAATGAGTCATATACACATGGAGAATAAATTGAAAATATATGTATATGAAGAGGGTATGCAATAGCATAATTGTTTAATGTACATATTAATAGAGACTCAACAATCATATTAAATACAATAATATAAAAGGATATCGGGTTTATTGGGTTGGGTTGGGTTCAAATAAAAGCAACCTAGTATCAACCTAATACCGATGGTTTGAAGATTTTACAACTTGATTAGACATTGTATTACTTCAGATTGAGTTATTTTGCGATTGGGTTGGGTTGGGTTGGGTTGATCGGTTGATGATGGGAAGGAGCAAGAGCCTGAAGGTATAAGCGAACGCATATAGGGTCTGTTTACCAAATTTTCCATTAAGTTTTTATACGGATAAATTTGTCTGTTTAGATAAATTTTACTGTCTAGATAAAAATTTGTTGTTGTTTACTTTTTTACCTAAATCAATCGTTTAAATGACAATAATGACCGATCTACCCCTCAAACATGTTTGAACTTTACAGCACTCAATCAAACTCAAACCAAAAATCTATTGTTCATCAAACCAAAAAGCTAACAATCTATCAAACTATTTGAACATTAAAACATACTAATCAAACATTTGAACATCAAATTATCAAAACATAATAATCAAACCATTTAAACTTAAAAAAAGCTACTGCTACAAGAAACCTAACATTTTGTCATCAATGATGCAATGGGGGAGGGACAGAGCAAAGTCGACGTTTTGTAGGGCAGCAGCGACGAAGGAGGAGTCGAGCTGCAACGACGAAGGAGGAGCAACAACAGAGGAGGTGCAGTAACGAAGGAGTTGGAAGGATGAAGGAGTTGCAACGACGAAGGAGGTGCAACAACGGGGTCACTGGTCGTCGGAGATGAGCAACAATGATGGAAGGAGAACTTTTTCTCTATGGCTAGGGAACTTTGAAGGGAAGCACTGGAAGGAGGAATCAACGGGGAAAATTGGTATTGTGTTGATGAAAACCGAAAGAAGAAGGTCGTCGGCGGAGAAAAGTTGTCGGAGAAGAGGCGTAGCGATGGGGAGAAGTTGACGGAGAAGAGGTGTAGCGTCGGCAGGCTAAGGTTTGAAGTGAAATGAAAGGGGGAGTGGGATTGAAGGGGGAGGTATGGGATTGAGGGGATACAATTGTCAATATTTTGGCTTAATGGGGACAACACACCCCTTCCATATGTGCGAATAAGCCCATATATTTATCATTAAGCCACAAGTAGACATCTATATATGCCAGTGTCTCCTCTAACATAACTTTGTACTTATTATATGATAAACGAGTCTATAACACATAATTAAAAAACATTGGACGAGATTAACCAACCCAACTGTCAGTCAGCCTGTATGATCCATCCATTTTACAGTATTTCCAAAAGATATGCTATATTTTTTCTTTATTTTTCTAAATTTAGAGATTTATTCATTTTCTTTCACTTTTCTCTATTTTAGAGAATAATTTAGCATAGTTGTTGAAGCAAACTTTTTCCAAATCCTCAAATTTTATAAAATAGCATAGTTGTTCGAGATGCTCTTATTACCAACACCAATAATTATGAACGGCGTTTAAAATATTTTTTTTATTAAATTAAGAATTTTTTTTATATAATTTGCAGTTTTTACATAAAGGGAGGTTATAATATTTAAAATATATTGGTAATATTTTTGATGAACAAGAGTCGTTTTAGATATCCAAGCCGTACTTGAAATGTGTTATCTTTCGTTATCAGTAACGATAAAAAAATATAAAAATCTTGCAAATAGTATCACCGTCATTTTTATCATTTCGTATGGGTCCTATACTTTTAAGCCACTAGGTTCGTTACTTTTCGTAGTCGATTCAGCCCATGCCCTATATTGACTTATAATAATTATTATTTTTATTAATCTGGATATCCAACTCGTTATGCGAGCCGAATAATCTCTGGGCGACTACCTTCTTTGCGGGTAGCCTGGAGTCACCGCATTTGAACCTCTGTGACCACAAGGGGATTTTTATTCCTTCTTGGATTTGAACTTGGGACCTCCATACACCCTTTAAAACTCAAGCTCAAACCAATCAGACACCACCCTTGTGATTAACTTATAATTAGTTTTAGAGTATTTGGATAACTGGATATGTGATTTAAAAGCAATTATGTGATACTGAATAATGAAAACAGATAATCGATTCAAATGAATTTGGGCCCTAAATGATCAAAAACAAAAACGAATCACTTAATACTAAAATATGATATTGATAATCGTATAATCGCATTCAAAACACTCCAAACTGTAAGAGTCAGCAGTAGATCCCAGGCTTTTGGAGATCAAACGTTCAAACTCCATCAAATGTGAAGAGAGTGTGTAAGTTTTCGTAAATAAATATTATATTTAGAAAAATACAGAAACAACCCTCTATTTTGCTAGTGTAAATGGTCTAAGTGGATATTTGAAAGCGTCTTAATAAGCATTTTCATTGAAATAGTATGATCGAATCAGAAGTATATGGTGGCGTTTGCTTTTAAATAGGTATTGAAGTCTGAAGTCTTATTTGATAAATAAGAGGTGGTACTGAAGTCTGAAACCTAAATCAATAAGACTGTTTCTTTTTGTAAACTGACAAACGTCTGAAGTCTGTAGTCTTAATCAGTAGGTTGTTTTTGTAAAACCAAGTGCAAACATTTTGCAAAATTCTCTTGATTTTTATAAAATTTCCATTGCCGAAATCCATCTAAACAATTGTTTAACAGATGGAACACAGTAAGAACTTTTTGGATACCTTTCAGACTTCTTATGCTATCGGGAATGTCGTCGGTTTGTTTGTGGAAAGTTCGATACTTATGATAGGGGATAGATCGCCGATAGAAGTTCTTGTTTCACATTAATATTTTAAGTTAACCTGTATGTACAGAAATTATATATATATATATATATAAATATATATATATATAGAGAGAGAGAGAGAGAGAGAGAGAGAGCGCTTGGTTCAAATACTAACCAATCATATTCCATCTTTACTTTATGTTCAAATGTAACTCATATATTAAATACAAGGGTAATTAGGTAATTTGACCTTTATGTAACCACTAATAATTAATTGGGAGTTACAAATCTTTAACCACTGATAATTAATTGGGAGTTACAAATCTTGAAGATCTCACTAATTGATCATGATGTAATTCTGAATTTTATCTTCATACGTGTTCATGATCGTAATTTTCAAGTGATGTTCTACATATAATGATACTATTTTTGTAAGTGTAAAATATTTCCGTATCGTCTGAGTAATATGGATAATCTTATTGTAAAACATATTGACAACAATAGAAATGACAAAGTTAAAATCGTCTATGACTACGGTCGGAATTCGAATTCCGATAATGAAGAAGATGATCAAAGCGTTCCTATTGGTAAGTGATTAGTATGACATTTGAATTCGTTTAAATGAACACATATCAAAGGCAATAGATGTTCATATCGATACATATGYACAATCACATCACATGAATATGAACAGTATCTGTGATTCATGTGAACACAAGGTTCGTAGGTGTTCATGTATATACAACAGAGTTGGTTCCTGAATATACAGAAGATGTTCATATGGTTCACATGTTTTTCATATGTCTAATCTTTTTTGTTTGATGTGTTTTGAGGATATACATAAGTTGTTCATATGTCTGACAACTCGTGTATCAAAGATAGATTACTTTTTACCTGAATACTCTTTGATATTTTGTTCATATATGTTAATTGAAAATATTAATTTAATAATCAATTTTTAAATATCATTAAATCACAACCGTTTATTATTCAAATTATACATATATATACACACACACTCACTCACTCACTGGGGTTTAACTTACCAATGATTGATCATCAAACAATTGATAACCATCAACAACCAGAGCTTTCATTATCAGCCAGTTGTGTGAAATTGAGTTCAACAAAGTGGTATCGGAGCCATTCGAAGGGGCTGATCAAGTAAGCAGAGGATTAAGAAAGAAACACCAAGTGAGGAAATAAGTGAGATGGCAAAATCAAGCAACTCTATGTAGCCATGTCTTCCTAAATTTGATGGTGATTACAACCTTTGGAGTCTTCCTATGGAGAATCTACCACTCCATTCTGTTGTGGTGTGAACGCTGTTGTGAGTTGTCTTCCGATGCCAACTTCCTTACAGAGTGATTCAAACTCATTTGAGTGGAAGAACGCAAGACTCATACCATTATGAATATGGTTTGCAGTGTTCTTGACGACAAAAAGGACCCCAAAAGTTACTGGTTACACATGTGTTGAACAGAAGTCCTACAACGTATTTGCAGGGAAGGACACCCGAAGAGATGTGGATTGGAGTAAAGACAAATGTATACTAGTTTCGAGTATTTGACTATTTAGCACATGTTCATGTACCTAATCAAAAAAGGCAGAATCTGGAAGATAAAGAGTATCCCTTGTGTGTTACTCGGAGTCGGCAGCGAATCCAAAGCCTATCGTCTGTACAACCCAACAACAGGTAAAGTGATGATAAGCCGAGATGTCATCTTTAGTTGGTATTCAACACCAAAGTCAATGAGAAAGGGGAAGTAGAAAAGTATAAAGCCCGACTTGTGGCCAAGGGCTATGCAGAGCAACATGGAATAGAATACTACAAGGTATTTGCACCTATGGCTAGATGGGATACCATTCGACTTAATGTATGTGGTATGTTTGCTAAGCAGGTATATCACAGATCCATCTCAACAGCACATGCGAGCAGCAAAAAGAGTCTTATGTTACTTGAAGGGTTCTATGTCATTCGGGTTGTTCTACTAGAGAGGAGAAGGGAAGAACTAACTACATATACGGATAGGAATTATGCAGGTGACTTGGATGATAGAAAAAGCACAAGTCGCTATGTTTTCTTATTAAGTGGGACAATAATATCTCGGGCATCCAAGAAGCAGTCTGTCGTGAGTCTATCCACAACTGAGTGCATGTCAGTGTGTTTGGATGATAAGAATCCTTGAACGGTTTAGGCTGGTGCAATCTCAAAGTACAACAAATTTATGCGATAAAGTTCTGCTATGAAGTTGTCAAAGAATCCCGTGATGCATGGTTGTAGCAAGCACATCGATGTGCGGTTTCATTTTCTAAGATATCTTACAAAAGGAGTAGTCGAGCTTAATCACTGTGGCACTGAACATCAGCTGGCAGACATCATGACTCGTTAATACTGAAGGTGATCACATAAATTGTAGGCAACTGGAGTCGTAATTTGTTCCAAGCCTCAAAGCTTATTGAATAAAATCATCCGGTACTCTCCAGTCAAGTTACTGTGTATGTGTGTGAAATCTCTAAATTGAGTTCAACACCAGGATTAACAATCTCACCACCATTAAACCACCACAAGCCTCCACCATCAACAATTAACAGCCACCAACAACCATCATTAACAAGCACACTTCACCATCAGCCAGTATTTACAATCCCACCACCATTAAGCCACCACTTTCCACCACCTGTTTTAACTTCCTCCAAGATTCTCAAATAAAAAAACATAATGATAAAAAACACACCAAAAGAACCATCCATCAACCAAAATTCATGATTTAGTAACACATTCAAAGATGTCTCTACTCTCTACACAAGAAATCTTAGAACTACCAATAAAAGTACCGTAAAAATCCTAGATTTCTACTAATCTTTCAAGTAAAATTCAAAATATCGCGCTATGTAAAAAAGGAATCATCTTAAATTTGAAACCAAGATTATTCGATCCATGCTCACTTGCACCAGCACCAGCACCAGCACCAGCAGCATATCATATCATAATATCAGCAAGAAAGAAGCTAATTTACCGCACAGGCTGCTGGTTGTAGTGGTTCTTCTCCTTCTTCTTAGCGGCTGCAAGCCTTGCACTCCTTGCTGCCGCTTCACTAGCGGCAGCTCTGGCGGCAACATCCATCTCCTTGTTAGATTTCTTCTTTTTTGCAGCCACCACCTTTTTTATCTTCTCTTTCACATCGATCCCAGATAAACCTTCAACCTTCTGTGATCCAGTCGCAGCTTCTGATGTTGAATTTTCAGTATCGGGCCCATTGGAGACTACTTGTTCTTTGGCAGCATCCTTAAAAGACTTCTCTTTCTTCTTCTTCTTTTTAGCGTTTTTACTCTCGCCACCAGGGGGATTTTTGTCTTTCTTCTCTTGCTCTCCGTTCCGATTCTCCACCTTCTCTCGGGTGCCACCTGGAAAATGGATGCATGAAAGTAAAATAATCGATTGTCTACTATAAAAAGTAAAAGATGGGCAAGTCAAGAAGCTACCACAGTAAACGAAAAGATTGAAACTTGAAAGCTAGGCCAACTTTCCGGCCCAACTCATAAGCGAACACCCCAAGTCACCAATAGAGATGATGATGATGGTAACAGCTAAAGAAACATAAAGAAGCCCATCAACAGAGTTCTTGATCATCAACACAAAATCTTATAAATGAACTGGAAGTCAAAGTATTTATTCAAGGATAAAATGCATCAAAATACAACAAACTTCGATTTAGTTCCTATTTTGTATTTATTTTGACCGGTAACCTGATGATCATGTAATATTTACAAAAGCGTCACAGAGGACTGGACGATAAACTTCACATTCATATCATCAAAAATTATAAGATCAATGTTACTCAGGTAAAAAATGTTGAAACTTTATTACATTACATGGGAAATCTTGAAACATCGTTACATTGATTGGGAAAAAATATATTTGTTACACTAAGTAGGAACTAAGGCAAAGTTCGTTGCATTTTGATGCATCCTGCCAATTATTGGTAAAATGACATATACCAACAACTCGAGGTTATGAAGATGTAAATAGATGATTTTTGTTTAAACGGTGTATGTATAAAGAACATATGAGTTCTTACCACGGGAATCTTCTTGGCCGCTGCTTTCAGCCAATCCAAACTCAGCAAGCACTGCTTCAAGTTCTGCAAGTTCTTTCTTCTTCAGTTCCTTCTTCGAGAGTTGTCTGTCATCCTTGGGAACAACCGGTTCTTTTTCAGCAGGCTTCTGAACAACCGGCTCTTTTTCTGCTGCCACTTCTGCTTCATGATCATTTTCTTCATCATTCTCATCATCAATTTCATCAAGACCTTCATCTTCACTTTCACTTTCCTGCATTAAAAAAATTAGCAAATTATCGAAAATTTCTTTGAACCATAATTGTGGTGATATAGGATATTGTACATCAGAGTAAACCAGAAATTACCCACTTTGAAAATATAAACGCAATGATCATGCTTTTATACCTCAAAAAATAAGTAAAAACTCATGAATTAGAAAACAAGTAAAAACTCATGAATTGAAAGATATAAACTAATAAAGAATATGGTAAAGCCACACATACAAACTAATCAGGATCACAAAGTATCAAGGCATTATAGTATGTACATGCATTTATGCAGCCCAGGGTACGTGGAACTTTAAATATTTGAGCGTAAATATATGCATGTAATTTTATTTGTATTATAAAAAGCAAGTCTTGGATAGAAGACAAGATAAATACACTAAGCCACTAAGGAGCCCTTTACCAAATGCTTACCGGGTAAGGGCTTACCAGCTGTTACTTATATTACCGATGAGCATGACAATAATTAAGAATCTTACTCGGTAAGAGACATAGAAAGGACTGAGAATCTTATCCGGTAAGTGCGGTTGAAGACTCTTACCTGGTAAGGCACTTACAGAGTAAGAAAGCCTTCCAACAATCCATTTTAACAGCCAAGAATGGTAACCGATAAGTAGGTAAATGTGGTAACTCTTGTCAATACATGGTAAGAAACTTGCTGCATTTGGTACATGGCACAGGACAAGGCTCACTGTCCCACGTTTGGCGCAACATGGGACATGACAAGAACTCATCGTCCCACGTTTGGCATGACATGAGACACGGACAAGGACAAGAACTGGAACAAGGTGGATAATATAGGTCAAAAAAGGTTTCTTTTTGTTCCATCAAAATAGGTGGAACAAAATGGGACAAAAAATGAGACAATTAACTAAAATATTACTAATCTACCCTTGTTTAATGTATAAACTTAATATGGTATTTGTTTTAGTGGTCACCACCGCTACTCGCGGCCGCCGCTACCACCAACGGCCACCTCCACCTCTTCCACTACAACAACCTCCCCCACCACCGACCACCACCATCCGTCGCCATCTCCACAACCGCCATCAACCACCGACCACCACTACCATCGTTGGTCACCTTTACCCCATCCGCTATTATAACAACCTCCTTCACCACCTCCACAACCACCTCGGTCACTAACTACCACCGTTCATCGCTACCACTACCTACCACCATTGCTACCTCCACCTCCTCCGCCACTGTCAACCACCACCACCACTATTATCTACCATCTTCACATCCACCAACCACCATCGCCAATCTCCACCACCACTAGTACCGTCAGCCACCATCATCACCACCACAACCACTACCACCACCACTACTACTATCCACCATTTTCACGTCCTCTACACCCAGTATCGTCCACCGATCACCAATGCCCTTCCCTCTACAACCATTGTTGTTGAAACAATGTTCATTGTGCCTTCACCAATTGATAAGGATCTTTCAAAACAAAACGTAGTTTCTCCTTCGTACGAATGAGGTTTTTTTCGATCTACCATCAATTATATCAAATTTTTCATTCAAATTCGGTACTATTATACATGTATGTATTTATGTATATAAAAAATGTGTAAAAATATTTATAAATTAAATTATTTAATCATTTACTTATTTGTGTTAATTATAACTATTATATGTTAAAAGAAAAAATCATCAAATTACTTTTGGGGACAACTTGTCTAGTTTTGTTCTGTATAGTCGTAGTCTACCAAATACCAGACACACACTTGTTGTGTCTAGTTTCATCCCGTCCATCCTGTCAAGTCCTATCCTCTTGTCCAGTCATGTCTGCGTAGCAAGCGCTACCTTACCAACAATCTATTTTGATGGCTGAGAATGTTAACAAATAAGATAAGCATTTACCAAATGCTTACATGTGGTAACTCTTGCTGATAAGCATTTAGTAAATGACCCCTAAATTAAGGAAGCCTATTGATTGTATTTCCACAAAAGGAGTAGCGATTGCTAGAATTACATCACAAATATAGAATTATATATATTTTGAAGAAGATGATTGAGAGGAGCAAATCATGACCATCAAGAGCCGTGTCCTTGTCATTCATTTCTTCATTTCTTTTTCAATCTTATGATTTCTCTCCATCTATGTGCATTTTCAAAAGCTAAATATAATGTTCAAAGGGTACTTCAAGTAAGTATTTATTTTAATCATAGGACCATAATAAAAAAACAATTACGGGTAACATTATAGGCCTACAAACCACTTCAACTTCTGAAAGCTAACCCCTGCTAATTGATTTAGCCCTACACTAGCGTTTGGTAGACAACAAGATTGGACCGGTTAGAACTGGACAACACAAAAGGGCAGGACATGACATGGCAAGTTAGTTGTCTGCTGTTTGGTACGATTAAAACAGATCAGGATAAGTTACCCCTAAAAAGTTGTTTGATGATTTTATATATCATATAATAGTTATACATGACACAAATCAAGCACATACTGAAAACAATTTAATGTATAAATATTTTTGTACAATTTTCATATGCATAAATACATACATATAAAAATATAATAGTACCAAATGATGAATATGGAGGTAGAGGTGGTAGTTGTGAAGGCGGTGGTGGGCGTGGTGATTATGGATTATGGAAGTGGTTGGCAATGGTCGTTGGTGGCAGCCACCCTGGGTGGCAATGCCAGCAATGGGCGATGGTGACCATTAAACCAAATGTCATATTAGGGTTATATCAAATAAGGGTAGATTGGTAACCTTTTTAGTTCCGCCTCATTCTTGTCTCGTCTTATTCAACCTATTTTGGTGAAAGAAAAAAAGCTTTTTTTTGTCCCATCCAGTCACACCCGTCATTGTCCCATGTCGCACCATACGTGGAACAATGAGTTTTGTCATGTCCTATTATATCCAGTCCCATGTACCAAAGGCAACTTACAAGATTTAAATTATAATGAGTATAGAAGTATATATTAAATAGCTCTCTATCCATCCACTTAGCTTCATTTGAATAACACAGGACCCACAAAAACAGCACAAATATATGTTAAAATTTGTATTATATAAATTGAATGAATAACAGGATCGATGCATCAACATACATACATAATTGCATATACATGGATAGGAAATAAGAAACAGCTCACCAAAATGAAACTGAAATCCAGTGCAAAAATTCCCTTAAGATGCTCCCAAAAGGTCACAATATGATGCATGTTTTTTGACAGAAACCTCCAAACTAACAGAATCAAATTCAAACTGAACGACAGAATCATAAATCCAGACATCAAGTACTGATCCCATAATGATGATACCACAGTAACACAAACAACCTAAGATTATTCATGTAACTTACAAAAGGCAGGAAATGAGAACCAGCACCATTGAAAACCTCTTAACTTGGAAATAATCAATAATTAAACTACAAAACCATGCAAATATCCGGTAATAAAGATGATTTACTCTAGAAACTAGAGATAATCCACACAAATACTAGAAAAAGATAGTGTTTAACGTAGAAACAAAGTCAGGTACCCTGCCCTGCAATTAACAAAGCCCGTAACTATGAATTTAAAGTATCATCTATTCATCTTAGACATATAAGAATAAAAAAACCGATTAGTCGGCCCGCATAGCGGGTTGGATATTCAGGTTACTCAAAAAAAATGACCCTTACATCTTTCTACTTAATTTTTTCCTAACATGATTAGTTTATAGCTTAATATGCAAAAACCAACTGGATTATATTCAACCTCTCTATCATGAATTAAATCAAGATTTTTCAAAAAAATCGATCAATCATAAAGAATTTGTATTAGCATCTAATACCATCCCACATTCTCTAAGAATGATCAAAGCAATGGCACAACACACGTAACATTATGATACCAATTTAAAGCACCTTACAGCAATTAGATGCAAATGCAGTATAAAACTAGCAAAAATACTTAATTCCATGATCTTTCACCTCAACTGGAGTCTCGTTTCCTTTGACCTTATCTTGCTGCATCCCGGCAGAGGCACCCCAAACAGGAGGTGGAGCTGTTGTTGCATAATAATCATCATCATCTTCATCGTCCACATCCGCCCACGACTTCACCATTAACGGTGCCGGAGCCCAGAAAACCTGCTCCTTCTCCGCCTTGCTCTCCTTATCCTGCTTCTTCTTCGAACTACTACCCTTCTTCGAAGAACCCTGCTCTTTATCAGACTTTTTCTTCTTCTTTAAGCTTCCAAGAGCAGCAAAAACGTTGGTGCTGTTAATTGCAATTGGATCATCCTTTCTATTTCCACCACCAACCATTTTTCTCAGTATCAAATGCACTTGCAAACTTGGACCAGATCGAAATTCAAATTTTCAAAAAAAAAAACCAGGGTTTTGTTCTTTTCTTTTTCTTTCGGAAACGAACTTATATATATATGCAATATACACCTATGCACACAACTAAAAATTCCCGATGATTATTTGATCTTATGTAAAATTGATTTGAAATGGGGATCGCTAAGATCGAAACGTAATACACCAACAAAATTTATGGTACCAATTTGATCAAACTAAAACGTTAAACTGAGGTCAGGATAAGATTTCGACGGAACGATTTAAGTTTTCGTTTGGGGAAATGAGGAAAAACAAGATTTTCACGACAACACGAACAACAAAATTCCGACACGATAAAATTTGGATCGGAAACCCAGAATTAGAAATTGATTAAAACTAAGGATAATCTGGAATAATGAAGATTGATAATCTCTTCTCCTCCTCTCCCCAATCGATGAGGATTGAGCTTAAAGATGAACGAAATTTATTAGGGTTTTCAAGAATTTGATAATGGCAACGGATCTAGAGGTAACACAAAATTGAGATAAGAGAAGTGGTATCGTCTGTTTCCTGAATTAGGGTTCGGAAGACGAACAACTGCATCTATGAAAAAATTGAAGATTTTTGTGTTTGGGAGTTTTTAGGTGAGAGAGAGAGAGAGAGAGAAAGAGAGGGCGTTTCTTGGTCTGTGATCTTATGTGTTTCAAGATCTTCCAGTTAATCCTAGCCGTCCATTTTAATCTACGATCATGATACATTCTATCATCATATTTTGCACCAAAATACAAAATACAAAATACAAAAAAAAAAACAATCGTCCTTGATGTTTGTTGGTTTTAACAAAATTGGTCCTTTATAATTTTTTTACTACAGATTTGTCCCTCATGTTTGCGAAATATCTTCGGATTTTGTCCCTCTCAACATACACGAAGCCACCAACGTTCCTCTTTTTCTCCTTGTACCGTCGGGTCTTCTCTTGCCTTTGTCTACAATGCTGTCGCGGACCTTTTCCCCTACTCTCCTTCATGACAGAACCATGACTTCCAACATTGCTCAGCTTGTTCCTTCATCTGTATTGATCGACATGGTATGTGTTGGTTGACTTGTTTTCTTGATTGGGTGAACATGGTATCTTGGTTTTCTCCTTTCACCGTAGTCAAACGGTTGGTTATACCCGAAACAAAAATCGACAAACATGGTATCTTGATTGGGCCGAGACCCTCCTCGATAAATCCCCTATAAGAAGTTCCCGAATTGGTTAAAAGTTTTCAATTTTCACCATCGGTTTCAATTTCTTTTTGGCCATCCCTAGGAGGGAAGGGGGTCATGGTTGGGGGAAGTAGAAAGAGAGATAAATGGATTTCATATTATATTATATTTTTACAAAACGAAAAACGAGAGAAAACGATAAATTGATCAAGGTGTCCCTTATTAAAACGAGTTTACTGGAAAATACTAACGACCATTAGTGGGGAGGACGAAATCCAGCTTTTACAAACTTGAAGGACAAATCTGTAATAAAAGATTGTAAAAAACAAGTTCGTCGGAACCAACAAACGACGGGGACGAAAATGTAATTCCCTCTAAATAAAATGATTTATTTGCATTACGTAACAAAGCAAGTATTCATGGTTTCTTTGTATGTTAACTACGTTCTTCCATCTTTTATATTAATCTCTTAAAAACCATTCTTTTCAAATTCCGACATCGTAGTTGTGAATTCTATTTGTTTTACATACAATTTTTTTTTAAAATCAGGGTATTTCTAAAAACGTAATTCTGTATTTTAAAAAATACGTATAATCTGTATACATCTTGTTTTCAGATGTTGGATTTATTTGGTTTGCATTATAAATTATTTGGTTTGTAATAATCATCTTGTGAACACATATCCAACCACATCAATAACTATTAGATTTTTTTAATTAATTATTATTTAATATAATTTTCAGTTGCAATATTCTTTGGATTTCTATATGATGATTCAAAACCTGAAAAATAAAATAAAATTTTCGTTTTTTACTTGATTTTACGATTTCATTAAGATTTTCTTTTATCCATTCCACGTGTTTAACCGGTAAAAAATAAAAGGGGCAGGTCTGAGGATCAACTGATAGTTGGACGAGAGAATTGCTTTTTCCTTAAACTGTTTTTCTTAAAAAAAACAAATCGATCTGATTGATGAATCATACGAACACAATTCATGATTCAAGTACTTAACAATTAGAAGAAATTATTAAAAGAGGAGTAATTATTAGACATTTATGTTATACTGTCAATTTTAATTATACCGTCATAAAACGTATTAGCATATAATCTGATATGATTATGTAAATCATTTGAACGTTTATTAAACATCTTAAGGGTAAATAATTAAGGTTGGATAGATGTACAAATAAAACTTACATGATAAAGTAATGAATTAGTCAAATAAGACAAGACAACATAGGGTTGAGTTTACGTGAGACCACATTTTTACACTTGAAACTTCACTGCAAAACGCTGTAAAGGTAAAAAAAAAAAAAGTCAGACATTCACAGCAAAAACACTGTGAAGGTTACCTTCACAACGTTTTGCTGTGAACTTTCAGCTGTAAAAAAGTGGTCTCACGTGATTCCAAGACCCTCTATGTATGTCATTAAATAACAAATTTATTATTATATTATTTGAATGACACAACAAATCTTAACAATATGCACTAAAGATGGCTTACAAATGAAATCAACCTGTAAATAAAATCAATGAGTTAACTCAGAATGTTTAAACATATGACTTCTCTTGAGATACATGCACTTAGTCACTTTAACAAGTTCACTAAGCTCATGACTTTTGTGCTAAAATACTTCAAACATTTCTGCTCAATGACATGAGATTATACTGAAACCGTGACGTAAAACGTACGTCATACCGTTCAACAAACTTTCATGAAACATGTTATGCGGATATTATAACACTACTGAAACACATTACGTGCGTATTCTAAGCTATGGTTGGTAACACCTGATACGTTGGTACTTGACTGTACAGATTCCCTTGCAACATATACCGATCCTCACTTAGACTAGGGCTTTCATACATTCTGAAACTAAGGGGCCGTTTACCAAACACTTACCCAATAAGTATTTATCGGTAAAATTCAACACTATTATTTACTTACCGGGTAAGATTTAGTCTACAAAAACGGCATCATGTGCAACAATTTACCCGGTAAGTGCTAATCGTGGTAAGAGCCATTACCCTCACTTACCGGGTAAGACTCTCAGTCCTTGCCTCACTCTTACCGAGTAAGATTCTTGGTCTTTGTCATATTCATCCGGTAAGGTAATTTAATTTAGTTTGGTAAGCGCTTACCCAGATAAGAATTTGGTAAACGACCCCTAAATCGACGCCATGGCCTATGTTCCTACACATACTAAAAATATTGGTTTCATCCATAACATAGTTAGATACATTAAAATACTTTCACATGCCGGAGGTGGGGTTTGAGAAGGATAAGATGCACATAGACCTAAACTCATCTTTGACGACAATATAAACCAAAACAAAATGAGCCCAATAAATCCCATTCGGAAGTGGGATATAGCGAGAGTAAGATGTAGGCAGACCAAACCAAACGGGCAAGTATATTATCCCACCTGAAGGAGGGATCTGGGCCTGGGGAGCGTAAGATTGTATGCAGGCCTGGCCTCAGCTTCGACAACCGAATGACAATGCGACTAAAGTTTCTTGAAATGAGGATAACTATGTACTCCAAACAAGAATAGGATATGCGAAAAGACTCATTCTTTGTTTTGATCCAAAATTCGCACGAAATATTGTTATGCAACAAAGAATAGGAAAATCATAAGGAATGCAATCAATACAAAGAATATCTTTATCATGAGCCACCTGTTTGATGATATACCATTAAGGTACCTCATTAGTTGCCCTTGTGCCCCTTCTACATTTGCCAGTGTATCTTCCATGTTTTCATCAATCCTGTCACCCAATTACGACACTGTTCAAATCGAGTTTTTACTTTATTTTACGCATACCAGAACATTAACAAGAGCAAAAAAGGATGGATAGAAGATACTAGATATGAGCTCCATCCACCAAAAATACGTGTCCACATTCTATTTTAGTTTGTCCCAAAGTAAGTGTCCACTTTCAAAATTAAGTGCCTACTTTTCAATTCTACTCTTAAATATGAGATAGAGAAATTTATTACTCCCTCTGTTATTAAAGGTAAAATTGTCATTTAGTTTATTAAGAAAATATAATAATTACACATTTCTAGAACTGTTTGCCTTTTTCTTTTTGAGCACTTATTCTGGGACAGAGGGAGTACAATTTCTGTATCGATAGCTGTTGATTCATTGATCTAATTGAGAATTATTATGCTAATTTCATGCAAGTAGATTCAGTTCATCCTAGGATGCTGTTTTGTGAGAAAGAACCCTTGAGGAGAAAGGGGAGGTTCCAAAATATATACAGGAGAAATGGTCCAAGTCTAGCCGATGTGAGACTCTAAAACACCCCCTCCAACAGAGGCTAGATGGACACATTGTCCGAGAGTGTCGAGAGGGGTCCAAGTCTAGCCGATGTGGGACTCCAACACGCCCCCTCCAACAGAGGCTAGATGGACAGATTGTCCCAGAGTGTCAAGGGGGACTAGCCAGAGTGTCGGGTCCCTAGAATGGTAGACTTTGGCTCTGATACCATGTGAGAATATGCGAACCCCCAAGTTAATTTTCCAAAAGAGCCCTTGAGGAGAAAGGGGAGGTTCCAACGTACATACAGGAGAACTGGTCCAAGTCTAGCCGATATGGGACTCCAACACTTTTTAAATGATATGTATAGATTTAAAAGTGAACGAGGTCAGAATTCTAGTGATGTACAGAACACGATATTCTTACATTAGAAGTCAATGTATTGTTTCAATGTTAAAAGTCAAGGTATTATTTCAAGTAAGGTCTTTCCTATAAACCCCCTAATGAGTGTGTCATGTGTTTAACCAAGTAAACAAGCTTTTATCCTGATGGTAGTGGCAGTTGAAAAGCTCGGTATGAGACTAACCTAATTGCAAGCTCCCCTTGCTGTGAAACCATGGTTGCCAATTGCGTGAAAATGTTGCCCAACTCATGAATGGTTGACTCAACATTATGAAGAGCCTCCGCTCTGCTCTGCATGTAACTGTCTTGTAATGGGACCATCTGCTGTTGCTGCTGTATCAATGGCTGAGATTCTCCATCTGCCTGTTTCCTGAAAAGTAACAGTAAACAACAGAACTATAAACGACTGGATAAATCCAAGGTTCTTGGTGAAACCATTCATTTATTTATTTTTATGTGAAAGTAGTTAAGTAGGCCTTCACTAAGTAGTTAAGATTTTGATGACCAGATTGGCTAAGAAGTCACTTCAAGCCTTCAAGAAGTCGCAACCAATTTGATGGATTCATTTGATCAAAAAATTATTAATTTCTAACATCCAAAAGAAAAATGGCACTAACAAAAACCGATGTGCCACTTTAAGACTTGATAAATTCAACAGAGTGGGCACAAAGTCATCTCGTCTTTACCTGGGGAACAGTGGAGATGAACTTGAGGAGTTCTTAACCCAAGGAGGAGGAGAAGTTGATGCATTTGCTGTTGATCTATTAGCTAAGGGATGTTGGCGGGCAAATGGATTAGCAGGCTCCTTTGAAGCGCTTGTAGAAAATAACTGCCTTCTACTTTCATGAACCTTTAAGTTCTGCAGTCAAAAGATCATAAGTTTCACAAATATGAGTCATGTGAAGAAGGGCATCGCAAGTAAAATAAGAGCATGCATTGTTAGATGTATCATGCAACAAAATTTACACCTCTGTCCGCATAGTAAGGACTTCCTTGAACTCCTTTGTGGCGCCCATCAGACGATTCTTCAGATTATCAACAACTGTAGTTGAATGGGTAGTTGTGTCACTTGAAATGCTTTCACTTCCATTTTGTGAATTGCAAACAAGCTGCAAATCCACCACAGCAGCATTAAGTGCAGTAATGTCCTGCTTGATGACAGCAGTCAATTCTTGAATCTCCACAGTTGGATCATCAAAAACGGATGTCCTTTTAGCCACTGGAAGGACAGAAAAGACCATGTCAAAGCCTTTTCCTCCCATCAAAAGATTTAATACACTACGGCCATGCACATTAACTTTGAGAAACATGCAACATCGGATAAAGATTAACCATTATATTAACTATTAGCTTTGTAATAGAAGAAGCAATTTTTGTTATTATGTATTGAAGCATTAACGTGTGTGTATATATATATATATATATATATATATATATATATATTAACAGATGTCTCTAGGGCCTTAAAATATGTGGAATTCTCCCACAGTCAAATAACTTGGAAGCTATGAATATGCATGAAGCTTCGAAACTATGCACATTTAGGTTGAGACTATAAACACATTTAGTGTCAATTAGGATGGCCTTATATGTTGGTCGAGCCTTCATAAAGACCATTTCATTTTCTTATCAACTCCGAAGTGCAATTAAATTGAATACTTAATTAGGACCCTATCTGTCAAATTAATTCATTGACACAGAATCATGGTTGTAGCTGCACAAGCACTATATTGGAAATTTAGATAGATGCAATATTCTTGCATGATCCACTGTAAATGTATTATCTTCTTCACTCAAAGGGGCAATGAACCAGCCAGCCAGTGTGGTGGCAAACACTGTGCTGCAAGCTAAGCTGTTCGCGTTGTAGGATGAGATATTGAAAGTATGTTGCGCTTGATTCAAAAGATTTTTTAGTATAAGGAGTATATTATCTCAGTTAGTCTCTCTCTCCCTTGACTTCCCATAAATATAAAATCTTCCATCCCCAACACACAGATAGCAAATATCTTGCTACTAATTCTGCTACACAGCCACCATATTAATAGGTGAAATAACCCAACAAATATACATCAGCTTTCAACATTTCTTTAGTATTTATTAGGGTTGTAAACAAACCGAATGAACATGAACGGAGGCTTGTTCGTGATACCAGGGGTTCCACAAATACCATTCATTGCAGACTGAAAATAAATGCACCCCCCCATCTTCTTATCAAATTACAGAGTAGCATTTAAACATAAGGGGAGCTCAATTTCAGAACATTTCAAGCACCATGATTGCATGCAACCTTAGATTTCTGCTATATCAATTATTTCCTAGGAGTTCAAATCTGTATGTACATACGAAGGTAAAGCACAATCGTGTACAATTTTCAGAATATATTGATTAGCATTGCGTCCAATTTCTAACATATGGATCTAGTAACTCACATTAGTCAAAGACCTTCCAGCCTAGTGGTAAAGGCTTGGGCATGACATAGTCATGAACCCGAGTTCGAGCCTGGGATGGTAGTGTTGGCCACATTTAAGTGGGCCATGTTTAGCCTCCAAATTTGCCGGGATTAGCCGGGCTTTGGCCCGGACACCCTTACCAAAAAAAAAAAAAAAACCTCACATTTTGCAAGTTTCGCTAGCTTCTGCGACGTCTGATGAATTCCGTATCCAATTTTGGAAGCCCTCTTGTTGAATTCCGTCTGGAATGCAACCTTTGATCGCGATCCGTCAGCTTTGGTGAACTCACCAGCACCAACCCCAACACCCACGTTATTAGCACTCACCCCCGCATTTAACGACGGGAACGATTTTCTTAGCCTCTCAGCTATGCTAGAAAACTCTTGCGTCCGTTCTCTATACGATGATCCTTGCCCGGATTTCACATTCATCATAATGCGTATCTATATATCAGATCGAAGAAAATTAGGGGAATTTGATCCTAAAAATCCTAAATTAGCAGAGTGATTTCAGGGGGGCATGATGAAATCACAGAGAATTCGAATCAAATCTAATATTAGTATATGCATCTTTTGGATCTTTGTCTGTGCATTGAATCCAATAACTAGATCGATTCAAAACCCTGATGATCTGCATTGTTCAGATCTCAAGAGAGGGAAACCGACAATGGGATTCTGTTTATATGAATGGTGACATGGTCGCCATCGTTTAGAAATTTTGAAATATATAACTCCCAAAAACTTTAATAAAAATAAAGGGCAAAATGCATAAAATAGCAATCTACTTTCATAAATTTTTTTATTATAGCATTGTATTTTCAGTTTTTCTTATTACAACAATGTACTTTCAAACTATTTTTTATTAAGACATTATACTTTAAAAAATTTACCCATTATAGCATTGGGTAACCTTTTGATTTAAATTTACCCATTATACTAGTTTTCCATGACACCTCATTGTCCACATAGACTGTCCACATGTATTATAGTAATGTGACTTTCTTACTATATCATTGTACTTTCAAAATTATTTTATTATAGCATCTACTAGTTCTTATTAAACACTGTATTTTTACTTTTAATATTTAGATATGTTACATGTTATTTAATAAATGTATTAAATGAATTAAAAAAATTCTAAATTATTCATTAATATACCAATATCAATAAAACTAGTAGAACACAACTTATCTCGCTAACATTTTTAAAAAATATGCATTTTTTGAAAAAAAAGAAAATAAGAATTGTTCATTTTTTACCAAAAAATATTATCTTTTAAAAAATATATTATATTTGTTCAAAAACTTTTTACTTGACGTATAAATATATTAAATTAATTAGACTTTTTTGAATTATTTATTAATATAACAATATTAAAAAAATGTAGATAACAATTTATTTCGTTAATATTTTAATGAGAACTTTAAAAGATATGTATTTATTTGAACAACATAAAATAGAAAAAATTACCTTTTTTACAAACAAATTATATCTCGAAAATAATGTTTCATATTTATTTATTAAATATTTTACTCAAAGAATATTTAATTTGAATGCAACTTAATAAGAAAAAGTAAAAAAAATTAAATGTTTTTTTAGATCATAGCAATGAAAAATGAAAATCACTAATAATAATTTGAAATAGGTTTTTATTTTAATTTTAGTTAAGTCATCAAAATGATGTGGCATCCACATCACCTCATTAAAGCCACACAAGCAAAAAAGTCAAAGGGTTAACCGGTTTAAAAGGTAACAGGTTACCCATTGCTATTATGGGTAGATTTTTTAAAGTACAATGCCTTAATAAAAAATAATTTGAAAGTACATTGATGTAATAAAGAAAAACAAAAGTAGAATGTTATAATAAAAAAATTTATGAAAGTAGGTTGCTATTTCATGCATTTAGCCCAAAAATAAATTCAAAAAAATTATATTAAATAAATTGATAAATTACATCAAACAACATATTTAACTTGATTTATATTTTGGATAATATTTTTTTTAAACTTCCACTTTGGTACTTAAGATAAAACTTTTAAACATTTAAGTACTCGAATAACTGGTTGAAACTAATTTTAGATTAAAAAAAACTAATTTTATATTTAAAAAAATTCATGACACTAACCACGTCAACAAATAATATTAAGTTGAATGTTTCATCATTCGTCATATCAGTATGATAAAAATGATGTATTTAGATGGAATGAGTTATATTACAATCTAAAAAAGTCTACACAAAATCCAATATCATCAAAAATCAAAATGCTATGAGACCAGAAGCAAGAACACAATGCAACCTTCAACAACGCCCAACAACACCTTCAAAACTTTCCGGTGAACCACCACCGACGTTCCATAAGCAATCATCACCGGAAACCGGCATTCCCCCACCGATGGATCCTCTCCGGTCACCATCGCCAACCCGGAAAACTCGCAATCCCAATCGTTTTGATCTTGAAGTTGATAGTACATGTTAAAAGCATACGAAGCGTTTCCGGATAAACTCAACCGGTTACACGACGATCCGTAACCTAAAGACGTACAATCCGATAAGCTACATGCGTAATCGATCTCCTTAGCCAATCCGTCCAATTGTTTGACGCGTGGGTTCAACACGCACCACCTCCGGCTCATGTACCGCACCCCAACCACCGGTGATAACCCTTTGTTTCTCTTAGACCCCGATAGGTCCAATTCGTATTTCGGTTTACCATCGTATTCGAAAATCCCCCAATGTGTCTCGAACGAACCCGGAGCTATACTTTTCTTGTTTTCGTCTAGAAGGCTAAAAAGGTAAATTTCCAACGGCCCTTTTCGGACCGGGGTACCTTTCGAGCTCAAAACGTGTTTGATCACACCCTGGTTGAATCTTTTCGCATTTTTTACGTTCGCGTTTATGTCCCCATCCGTCGGCCACCCGATTTCGCCCACGACAATTTTCATTTCGGGATATCCGGCTTTCGTTAAAGAAGCAACCAATGTGTCGTAATTTGCGTCGAAAACGTTGGTATAGAGATAATTTTTGTCTTTAACGGGCTTATTCGATCCGTCAAAGAACGCGAAATCCATCGGGAAATATTCGTTACCGTAGAGGCTAAGAAACGGGTAAATATTAACCGTGAAAGGGGCGTCGTTGGAATAAAGAAACTGAATGATTTCGATCGTGGCATCTTTGATTTCGGAGCGGAAGTCACCGGCCGACGGGACGGGGTTCGATTCCGGAGACTCGTAGATATCGGCATTCAACGGGACCGTGGCTTTGATCTGCGACCCGAGACCCGCGCGATTAAGGGCATTTTGGACATTCTTCAAAGCCGGTAATGTGATTTGGAGGTACGTAGCGTTGTACGCTTTGAGGAACGGCTCGTTTCCAACTGCAACATACCTGAAATTTTTAGAAACAAATCGATCAAACTCAATGTGAAATTACATATTTACCCTCTCGATTCGAGAGTTGCATGATCATTGCTTACACCACAAGTTTCAAATCTGAAAAACGAATAGAACCTAAAAGGATCATACAGACGATTTCGAGTGCTTATTACTGAAATTTTGTTCAAAACTTCCCCAAAAATCATCTTGATAACCATCGTTTCTTTCAATTTGAGGGTCTAATTTTGAAACGAAAGGTGTATATCGAGATTGGGGAAGAAAGATTACAGAAAATTGGTAGCAAATAGAAGGTGATTTAGGCGATGATTTGAGTAGGAAAATCAGAGAGAGTGAGTGGTGGATTGTGTGTGAAATTTATGGATGCTTACTTGATATCAACACCACCAGGATAAGCATAAGTAGTAATATTAGAATCAACCCAATAATCAGCATAACTTGGATCTTGACTCATATCCAACAACATGAAATTGGGGATCGCCACCATCACCTCAATCTCTGATCCAATTAGGGCTTCCATGATCCTTTTTTCTGCTTCAAAGAGCTTCACCTTCTTGAATCCATTCTCTCTCATCATCTCCACCACCTGCTCCGCCGGCAACTGGTGGCTGGTCATGGTTCCCCAGTTGACTCCTACACCGGTACTGGGACTGGAATCGGAATCGGAATCGGAACAATTGACGATCGCCATAAATGGTGCCGAGAAACAGATCATCAGGAGTAGTGTGATGATGAATTGGCATGGGTTCGTAGCCATTTTTGGAGGGATTTTGGTGATTGATTGAATCCTTGTTATAGTTATTGGAATGGTGGATTGTTTGAAGAGATTTGAAAGAGAGGGAAATAGTGAAAAAGATTCGTTTCTTTGAATCAGTTATTCGGTTATGTAGTAACGATGCCATGCAATTTTGTGTGCTGTCACACTCCCTCTCTTTTTTTATTTTTTTTATTAATATTTATATTGATGAAATTATTAATTTTAATATAAATTCTTTTATATTTTCACACCACTTTTTTATTTATAAAATTGTTCATTTGAAAACAAATAATTAAATTTTGAATTTTATTAACTTTTGGTCGTTTTTTAAGTTTTAACACCTTTTATCCTTTAAAAAACCCTAATATTTAATTTGAGACAAATTGCATGAAAAAGTAATGTATTTTAACTGAATTCCTATTTTGATAACATACTTTCAAAACTTTTATTTTGGTACCTAAGATGTAAAATTTTAAACATTTAAGTACCCGGGGTAACCGGTTGAAACATTAACCGGTTACCATACTGATGTGGTATCCAGTTAATGCTTCAACAAATAATACCGAGCTGGAGGATACCACATCACTCGTCATATCACCATAGTAACCGGTTAATACTTTACCCAGTTACCCGGACACTTAGATGTTTAAAACTTTACATCTTAGGTACCAAAATGGAAGTTTTGAAAGTAATTTACCCAAAATAGGAATCAAGTTAAAATACGTTATTTTTTCATGTTATTTGCCCTTTAATTTGATATAAAGTTCGAATAGGATAATGTGTAAGTTGTGTTTTAGACATAAACCGATAAAGTAGAATCAAGTATTTTTAACACGGTCCAAATACCAAGTCTCACTTAAGAACCCGAAACACATGTTTCGAATACCAAGTCTCACTTAAGCCATGTATAATCACAGTATATATGTATGAATGGCGAATGCATATATATTTTACAATATCTGAGTAGATACACAAGGAATTATTTGTTCTTTTTCCATTAAAACTTGTCTGTTCCAATAAGATCAATTGTTCTTTGTTTTGTACGCTAAATAAACAGTCTAAGGGCTTGTTTATTTACCTCTTAATAGTTCCCTTAAGAGGTAACCTTTGAATCGTTAAGAGGTGAATCTTGTTTGGCAAAAAAAGTCTGTCTCTTAATGGATCTAAAACTTTCTGAATGATTTTGTATCATGGACTTCACTTAACCATTAAGAGCCCCACTTTCATTGTAAACAATTACCAAACAATTATATTTCATTTTGCACTATATCATGAGAGCCTCTTAATCATTCTGCACCAAATCATTCAGCAACCGCCAAACGACCCCTAAATCATTGAATTTATCATTTTACCATTTGCACCAAGTACCAACTCAAGATTGACAATCATCTTCATGAAAATAAATGGTAGGTAAATTCAACCCACATCTTGAAACATCTATTCGACATGTTTTTTTTAAGTATATAATATTTATATACAGCAAAATCAAACTCAAACTCACCCTTCTGTCATTTGGCGAAACTTAAACCCTTAAAATCTCAAAAAAGATTGAAATCTAGCAGTAACCCAGAAATCTCTATAAAGTGTTTGTACAAGTCAAAATAGCACAATGTACATGTACATTTCCACCTATTCAAATCAAGATCTAACAAACAAAAACCAAGAATCAAATCTTCACTTCTCCTCAAACAGTAAACAAATGGTGGTGGATGAAGCTTTATTGATTCAAAAGATTGGGTTTATCCACAACCCCCAATACTTAAACCATTTCTTAAATAAAGGTTGTACATCATGCATTAAAAGTTGTACATCACCCCGACCCCACATGGGGCCTCGTGTTTGCCAAAGTGGGGTCGGGCATACAAAGTTCTGAAATGATGATAGAGAAGAAAGAAAGATGACTCCATCTTTTTTGACAAGAGAAAAGAAAGGGGAAAAGAGGGAAGATTTCAACATGTTTTGATTAAACTTTCCAGCCTGAATCTACGTGTTATATTGTTGTTGCAGTCCTTTCTGGGTGTGATTTCCAATCAAAATTAAGCTCTTTGTTTTTGTACCCACTTGACTAAAAAGCTTAAAGCTGTATGTATATATATATACTATATGACTATATGATGCAATTCCAGTCAAGAAGATATGCTTTGTCCATAAAGAAGATGATTGCATCTTTCAATGGTGGGGTTCTAATTGTTCTTTTTTCTTGTTTATAATCTCCGTCTTAAAGATGATCTTTTGTCTATCTAGAAAGAAAAGGGGCATGGTTTAATGGAAATACGTCCCCTAAAACAAACGTAAATTTGCGAGTTAAGGAAGAGATGAGCACCTGAGGGTAGGGTAGGATGGATGCCATTCAGCTAAGCACTTCATGAAGAATCATTGGATGTAGAGTGTGTCATAAATAACTGATTATTCATTTTGAATAATGATGTAAGACCTACAGTATCTAACTCGGGAAACATGGAAGATGAAGAATCATCTGAAGGAGATACTGATTATTCATTATAAATAATGGTGTAAAAACCGTATATCTAAATCAAGAAACATGGAAGATGAATTATCCGAAGAAGATTGTGTCGTAAATAACTGATCATTCATTTCGAATAATGGTGTAAAACCTACAATATCTAATTCAAGAAACATGGAATATGAAGGATTACCTGAAGAAGATTGTCATAAATAACTGATCATTCATTATGAATAATGATGTAAAACCCTACAATATTTAAATCACGAAACAAGGACAACATGGTGTTTTCTAGATCATTTTAATACGTATACTATCTACCGACAGAACCTGGAGCTGTATTCGTGACATCTTCACGGATGCATGCTTCTTCTGGCAACTGAAAGCTCAAGCAATACATTGCCTGCAAGACAGATTAAGGGTTATAATTCTTGAATTCTTGTAGTAGGACTGCTGTCATTTTCAGAAAGCATACCCGTCTCCCTTTTTTAAGCTCCCAAATCTTGAATTACTAGTGTAAAGAGTCCAAACCTTGTGGAAAGGTGCAATCTTTTTAATTTTTAGAAAATTTTATATCGGGTCTTACCTTATTTGGAGCAACATCTCTAACTCGATGAAATAATGGCTCATGTATCTTAGCATTCAAGAGAGATTCTGCCTCCTGCAGAGCAGATAATATCAGTTAAAGAAGAATGACGACACTCACAGTGGGTAACATCCTAGTTTCTTTAATCCTTGTGTATCCCTTCTTAGGGTGGGAATTATTACTCCCTCCGTCCCAAATGTGTAATTATTACATTTTTTTAATTAACTAGGTGACAATTTTACCGTTAATAATAGAGGGAGTAATGAATTTCTCCATCTCATAATTAAGGGTAAAATTGGAAAATAGCACTTACTTTTGGAGGTGGAAAATAATTTTGGGACCAACTAAGATAGAAATGTGTACACATAATTGGGATGGAGGGAGTATAATGAAGGTGAATCAATTAGCCGAGTTATTATTATTTCTTTTTTTGAGGAGGGGGGTAAAAGCTTACTGAAATCACTGATCCTTGGGTCTCACTTGATCGAATGAAGCAATAGCAATGAATCCACGGTAGAGATCCTTTCCAGTATTTCCTCTGTATAAGGCCCCTAAATACATCTGAGATGAACAAAATTGATGGTTTTCATATTAGTTTGTTATCATTCCCGTCAGAAATTACGCATGTTGAATGCAAAAGTGTATTTGTGAGAGTTATGTACGACACCAGATTTACCTAGAAACTGTAGAGCGGAAGCAGGCAGATTCATTATCACATGATCAAAATGCTCCCACGGCTTATCAGTAAATGGCACGGAAGTTTTTATTCTTTTATTTTTGCTTCCTTTTGTCTTGACAGCTACATGACCATCAGCACATTTTACACTTCCTTTTTCTGTCACAAAGATCAAAGATGCATATAATAAAAAACCAGTAAGGATATTTAATATGTAATTTGTATTATTTCCATCCATCCAATGAAATTTACAACACTTTCCATTTTGGGATGTCCCATGAAAATTGGAACACCTTCTTTCTTTTGGCAAACCTCAAAGTAAGAATTACCCATTTGCTCATTGTCGTCTTTACTACTTTTTCTGCTATGAATTTTAGTAAATGTTCCCTTATTATGTCACTATAGGAGGCATTAAGACAGTCCACTAATAATTAAAAATAAAAATTGTATAAAATTATGTATCAACACAAAACTCGGAATTTTCAAGGGTGTAGAAACTATTGGTTTTTAAAGTAGCAATATACACTACTACATTTAAAATACCACACAAAAAACAATAATGCAAAATTCACTCATCTAAAGTTTACTGAACATGTCATACCTTCCTTACAGCTTTCAGGGGATCTTTCAGCGGCTGCTACTTTTGATTCTTTGTCCATGGGTGAGATATTATCACCCTCTTGGTTACATAAATTGTTTCCTGGAAGTTCTACCATGCCTTCAAGATGTAAGAAAATCAAATAAATAACTTGTTCTTCAGTTGAACTAAATGAAGAGGCATGATAAGCATTTTAAGAATCTTACTTCTGGTTTCAAACAAATAATGCTCCAATATTCATTTCCTCGATATAAGACACTAGTTTCTGGTTTATAACTTTAACACAACAATTGCACCTTTAATTAAAAAATAAAAATAAAAATTAGAACTATCCTACATTTTTTTTTCTTCTTTACTTCAAAGATATGCTAAACAGTTTACTTCATACCAACAAAAAGTACCAACAGTCAATATGGTCCTTGTATGGTTATAAGAAAGAACAGCAATGCAGTATGAGGAAATTAAGGTACATTAAATTAAAAAAACATACCAGCATTCCTTTCTTCAGAGTTTGCTTTCATACTCTCGTCAATGTTGTCTTTCACAGATGAACCCAAAGCTGAAGCATCATGTGTTGATTCACCAATGGGCACTGCCATCAATTGAGACATGAAAATTCTTGCATCCATATTATAAGCATGGAGATTGCTGTTAACCTTGTTAATATCTGCATTAACTTTAAGATAACGAATGCTGTCTGGGTTTAGATCATTGGCATACACTAAACACCCTTTCTGGGCAGCTGGAATAGCAAAAGGACCAATCCCTGAAAACATGTCACATATGATTTCTCCTTGGCGAAACTTGTTGACTAGCCTTATGTGTTCATGCTCCAATCTTGAATTCCAATAGACCAATCCATAATCCAGCTTGAAGGTTGCACCATATTGCTTCACCTCTGTAACCATGTTGGGTTTCCCAGCCAAGACTTCAAATTTTGGTACACGAAACTCATTTGCAATGGAACCAACTTTATTGACAATCGTCTGGATTCTGGGATGATTTTTCTGATAAGTAAAAAATGAAAAAAAGTAATTAGAGAAGATTGAAGAGACTATTGAGATGAAGTCCTTTATTCTCATGTAGATTGCATTTTTCAGTATGAATATCCATATGTTTTACGGTTTGTGTCTTTCATAGATGATGCATGCACCTGGCACACGTGTGCAGCAAATGGACTAAAAAAAGAGTGCTTATACATCAAAGTTCGACACATACATCATAGATGACCTTTGCAATTACATCCTTGTATGGAAGGAGTTCATCGGGTATATTCAGATGAGCAATATGGCCTGAAAAATACATTTAGGTCAATTCATTTGTCAAAGAAACTGTTTATGGCTCCTGCAAGTATAAGCTTTCTGCACTGGAACTTCAAATAGAAGGTAAAAAAAACTACAATTATACAAAGAGAATTAAATACAGAATGGAAAGAATCCCATTTGTTGAAATCGACTTCCACTGGAAATAGGGCCAAATATAAAATCCAAACAGAATAACATGTACAGAATACTTAACTATTGTTTCGAAAGATGAAGGAACCTCAAGTCCAGGAGGTAGAACCTGCTTCAGCACATGGTCTGTAACAGAATAACAGTAACTTAATAGGTACTCAATTAAATAGATCTTTTGTGTAAGAAACTAAAACCCGAATACAGATACACATTTCATTGTAAATACCAATAATAAAAATCAGCATAGTGCCTGTTTGTCATCTTCCATATACCTTGAAGCATGAAATAGTGAGAGTTTCATTTCGGTTGACACTGCCATATGCCATAAGTATTTGCTTACATTTCTGTTTGTTATGGTTAAACAATCCTTCTAAACATGCCGTCTCACTTCGGGTTTCAAGCATGTTGCTTCCTAATGCCTAAGCTTGTATACCACATTCCATATATATAAAGCTAGTCTAACCTGTAATAATCCCAAAAGTTCATCAAAACTGAAATGAGATCCCAACTCAAACTCGCTAACTAAGGTTTTGGGTATGCTGAAATCTAGTATCATATATGTTACTATACAGACAAAACTAAGTTACAAGCAAAAGAAAATAGAAAAGTGAGAACAGTTTGACTTTGAATTTCAAGATATTAAGTTCACCTGCACCCCAGTACGAATATCCGAGCGTCAATGAATACGGAATCGTTTCTATCTTGCATAGCTTCTTTAATTCATTAAGATTCTGGGTTGGAATATCTGACAGATCTGCTCAGAAAGCGATGAATGTAATATTATCGTCAAAACAATAAAAAAGTACTAAGTAGGTGATCAAACTTGTAAGAATGCTAGACTATGCCAAGAGAAAGGCTAAGGATTTTTTTTACGAATAAGTAACATATGTATAAAGAGGTTTTCTGGAATAAGTAATAGGTAAAGAATTGTTGTTTGTTTTATGTACTGAATGAAGTTTGAATGCCAACAAATTACCATTTTAACATTCGGTTTGGGATAAATGTTGAATGAGAAATGACTACTTGATAAGTATTTGAATAAACCAAGCCAAACAAGCCCGGTATGTCCCACCCAGAGGTGGAGTCTTGGGTGTGATGTGTGCAACCCGGACCTCTACCCAAAAGAGTACAGCGGTTGTTTCCATGAAGACTTGATAAGTGTTTTGAAAGAACATTCTAATTGACAAAATGAAAAATATTTGATAAGAAAATCATATAAATTCAATGATGTTATCCCAACTCAACATTTTACTAAGTAAAAATATAATCATAATACGAGCTACATTAAAATTGAACAAACTAATTGGGATATAATTCTCATATTGAAGCATTTGTCATTAATTGATTAGCAAGTTCACCAGGTAAATTTGTTATAAAGAGTATATTAAAGTAAATAATATTATTATCAATATGGGGGTCTTGTTAGAAAGAAAATAACTTTTAAGGATTAATAAGATATAATTATTCGGTTTGAAGAAAAAAATTGTATTTATCATCAAATACCAACTAATATATGGAGGTATAAAATATGAAAGAGTATAATGGTAAAAAGAAGATGACTTCATGGAGAAATCAAAGGCATGGTTGTATACGTTGAATAACCAGTCTCGATTCAAGGAATAAATAGAATTCTTTGTATACGTTGAATAACCAGTCCCGGTTCCAAAACACTTTGTTCAATGCTAAACCAATCCCACAAACTTTAAACTGGTTACGGAAGTGTGGTAACAGACCATTTTACTTCCACGAGGCAGGACTTCACTATAACTACCGATATCCATAAAAGAAGTCAATACTTAATAGGATTTACAAACTTTAGAGACAAGGAGGTAGAATGAGGCATGGTTCTTACCGGGATTTTGAACCCTTTCAGATAATATCACATAACGGGTTTTTTCACTAGTTGGGTCTTCAGTGATGGGCTTGATACGAGGTCTGTCAAGCATGTGTCTACAAGTAGAAGGAAAAAGGATTAATGATCTAAACAGGATAGTGTACAAAATACCCAATATCAAGAACATTGTTCAAGGCTTAATGAGAATTGAGAAAGCTTTTACAACAATTACAACCGAAATCTTCAGGATATTTTGACATAAGATCAGTGATTTCTCCATAAAAGATCACAACTCTTGGGACAATAATCAAATTGGACATTCAAAAAGGAAGCATACAATCAGAATTGTTTGTTTAATAAGAATAGCAGGCTGAAGTAGATCCTATGAGTTCTGCAAAAGTATATGGAACAACTAGCAGTGTAAAAAATTCCTTCAAAAATTGCCACCCCCTAGTGTAGCTTCTGAAATTCATGGAAATGCAAAACCATTCTATAAAATTCATGGCAGATGTAAAAACAAGGACACACATATGGGTGATCAGACTAAGCAAGATGCATGAGTTATCATCCAACAAAATGGACAAAACATCATACCCATTAAGCAACTTAGTTGCGACCTTGCAGAACTCTCGAGGGATTCGAAGTGCCCACAACTTCAAATGCACATCAAACTTGCTTTCATCCAACATTGCAGAATCCTTCAAAATCCCACAAAAACCGCTGCTGAAATCAATTCTCTTAGCATCAATAAACTTTTTCAAGTAATTACAACACCACCTCAAATTATTCATGAATAATTGCATGATTTATACACACTACAACTCTACAAGCTGCAAAGCAACCATGTGATTTGTGTATGGATCAAATTGAGTTTGAATCAGTGAAATGAATGTGCAAAGTCAATTAATCTAACAAAAACAACAGAAATAATTACCTGGTTCGATTAAAGACTGACGATTTTTCAGCAGGTTAGGGTTATTTACAGCATCAATGGCGGATATTATGAAATCAAATTACGTATGGGCGGGTTGGTTAAACGGACCACGTGATCAGAAAATATTAGTGGATCATGAGCTAAAATTGGCCCATATTTGATGGGCCTTAGTGGGTTGTTAGAACATGTTTTATTGGCCCATATTAGAACATTTAGGGGATGTTTACCAAACACTTACCCGGTAAGTGCTTACCGGTAAAATTTAACACTATTGTTTACTTAGTGGGTAAGATTTTTGTCCACCAAAACGGTATCGTATGCAACAATTTGCCCGGTAAGCTCTTACCGTGGTAAGAGTCGTCCCCCTCACTTACTGGGTAAGACTCTTAGTCCTTGTATGAATATTATCATATAGTAAAAATATTATATGAATATATTCGCATGTGAATACACTCGTGACTGGAATTTTGAAAAACATGTTATGAAATTGAAAGTAAAAACAGTAATAAAATTGTGTTTCTTCAAGGTGACCTGCACGACTCATCGTATAGGTGAGGACTTAGCCAAGAGTGGGCGTTATGAGGGTTAAAGAAAGCAAAAGAAAAGAAATGAGTTGATTTCAAGGGTCGTTTAGTTGGTTTTCAATTAAGTCATGTAGATATTAAGTTGTATGTGTGGATTAATCTGTTTGTATAGATTGAGGAATTTTTATTTGGGATGGTTTTTTCTTAGATGGAAGAAGGGCAAGTTTGGAAAATACTTGGTTTTCTGTATAAAACTCTCCTCTAAAAGTCTACTGAATAAACCACTTTCTATATCATTAAGTCAGTACCAAACATTTGTGTATAGTTGACCAAATAAGTTGTGTGTCTCGTTAAGCTCAATAAACTGCTAACAAACAGGCCCTTCGTTGTGATATATATTGAGACTAATGAGTTATGAGTCAAGTCCTGATATATTAACAGATGAATCATATCACAGGCACGAGTCGTATCATATCATAAACTAGTTCAATCCAAACTTAATTCATTGACGTACATATCTTCAACGATGTTGTAATTGCAATCGTTGCCCTAGCTTGATTGTAACAAATAGACATCATAACCTAGCAGGCAAAAATGCTCAGGGCCTTTAGGGAATTTTCTCGTTATTCTCCAGGGCCTTATCGGATTAGTCGAAGTGAGTGCAAACAGCCCCAAACAAAACTACACTTACAATAAAGGAGGTTATAACATGTTAAAACCGAGATAAAAAACCAGACGTCTAGCTACCAAACACAGTATTAAAAAAAATCGGTTGAAAATCTGTTACACATTTCACGTCATATAATATAATCGTCAAAAGTTTTTGATTTTATTCAACCAATTTGACATGTTGACGAAAATACCGAAGCTATCAGCCTACCACCCATTTTCAAAGATGGTGAACCATCTGTCTTCTTCCAAAAAAAAAACTTATGATTTTAATGCAATTTGACCATTTTATTATTACTTTCGAAGTTTCTCTTCTACATCTGCTGTTTTTTATTCTGATTTTATTTCACAAATATAAATTAAATTATCTGCGTTTTATGACCAATGCTTTTATTGCTAAAAAACTGATAACGACATCAATTGATACACAAAAAGTTAAACTAAGAGAAAATAAAATAAATAAAAATGATGTAAGAAAACACAAATTTGAGTTTATGGTGTTGACGGGTATTTTGACATGTTTCTTTAAAACAATATAAAACGACAACTAATATGTAAAAAAAGATTCTTATAAGTTGATATAGAAGATGTTTTTTTAAAGTATATAATATTATATACGGCAAAAAGAACAGATAAACTCACACACTCCCTCACATTTGGTGATATTTGAACATTTGACCTCCTAAGAGGTCAACGACTCACATACCGTTAGGCCAAATGCAACCTTCTTTGCCAAAATACTTCACAACATGTTTTAGGAGTCTCCTTACATATAAAAAAGTTAGTTACAACTTTTCGATATGAGTTGAAACATGTGAAAACCATAAGGGGTGGTGCCTGATTGGTTTGAGCTTGACTCCAAAGGTCAAAAGTAGTACCAGGAGGTCTCAGGTTCAAATCCAAGGAGGAATAAAAATCCCCTTGTGGCCACAGAGGTTCAAACGCGGTGACTCCGAGCTATCTATAAAGCAGGTGGTCGCCCTGGGATTAGTCGGCGCACATAGCGGGTTGGATATCCATGTTAATAAAAAAAAACATGTGAAAGTACATGGCTTCACAGTTTCACAATCACTTGTCAGATTTAATGAATTCGTTTGATCTGATTCGTACTTCCATTTAATTATCATAAACCTTGGTAAATATCACATAGAAATACAATGTCTGATTCATAAAATTTTCTACATATCATATATATACAGAATACAAAGCAACCATTTCTTACAGTTTTTTCAGTACCATCCTTGAGTTACAGTGTCGCCACATAGATGACCTTGCAAGATAAATCAGATCAAAAGAACTAAAAACCTCGTTCTCTATCAAAAACTGTTGAGTATTTAGTAGATCGCGTAATCAATCATCTGACATTAATCATACTTATCATTCCAACACAAAAGCATGGAGATGCAACGTCGGAGTATGTAAAATCTAGTCTTATGTTGTTTGGCGATCGCCAAACAACGTGGCCGGCCAGTGGATCTTCGATGAAGTTGTCGGTACTGGGAAGATGACCTGATTAGATACGAATACGTATTCATTTCAGTTTTTCTGGTGATCGACAATTGAAAAGACCTTAAGAACGGAAGTAGTTATAGCAGTAAACGATGAATGAAATCGGAGTTAAAAAAAAGTGGTTCATGATTTTGGATGCCAGTGGCCCTTGTTTATTTATAAAGGTTGTTTAGATGGACATCCCACTTTCTTTGACTGGATTACTTGACTCAATCTTTTTTCTAATATATCATTTGACTCTTATTTGAACTTCTTCTTACTATTTTCCTTTCCATATGCATGTTATCATCATTACATCTAGAATTATAGAATTATATATATATATATATATATATATATATATATATTAACCGAAGTTTTTGTGTTAACTTTGCAAACCATGTCAACCAATCACAATCCATTATTCTATTATGTTTCTATCATGTTCAAAATTTAATGCCAAGGGTAATTGAGTAATTTCATTTGCTATGTAACCCCCATACCATTAAAGGAGAGTTACAAAATCATAAAATCTCTAAAAATATACATTTTTATTATTTATAATACTGGTATTTTTACTTATTTTTTAATTTTGATCTTCCATTTTTATTATTTATGAGTTTTTGATTCGTGGAGAAAACATGATAGTAAAATCTTCGGTATCATTCAAGCTATTATGAATAAACGCATTGGAAAAAAAATCGACAACATTGAGAAGATTAAAATGGTTTATGGTGACAATCGGAGTTTGAGTCCGGGAGCAAATGCCTTGGTAATGGATTAATATTTTATTAGACTCGTTTTAATCGAAATTATGTTCATTATGATGTGTTGTGTTTTTTGTAGTTCATATTGCGT